TTGGGAAAGTGTCAATCAGTATGTTGATGATTTTTACCAACATTTGATGGATACTTTGGATATATTCAGGTCCTTGATAACTGTCCCGAAACAGAAAGCAGGACAGGTTGGTTCACGATCCTTGGTTACAGTCCTCAGTATAGTGATAATGCCGCAGTTTAGGACTCAATATTCTTGGTTAAGTTTCCGTATAATAGTATCTCATTGGGTCAGGCGCATCTAATTCATTGTTAAATTTACAAAATTGGAACCACAAATTTACAATAAAATTATCCTCCCTGCGGGCAATGTTATAAATCACTTGCTCATCTTCTATTCAAAAATATTTCTGGAATATGACAGGTGAATCATAGTTTAACTTTCAGATTTTGACAGTAGAGATTGATAAATGGTTGAGAAGCTCATTACTTTGTCTCCAACTAATGTCATTATTTTCTAATGTGTGTTTAAATAGGGCCATAAACCATGGAGTATCTGAACTGCAAAATCATGAACAAACATTTGACGTATGACACGACACAAACTGCCGTATAATGTCACCAGGGTTACCTCCACGGAGACATTAAGTGGAATTCTATTGCTTTCTGTTGTTTAAAAAAGACTGAACCGTCCAGGACGAGCCTTGCACTGATTTTCATCTCATCACTCGTAAGGAGGGAAGCTCACGTATATATTGGAAGTGTTTGGCCAACTCGACGAGATGGTATAGGAGATTTCTGAGGCGTGACACTGAGCCGGTGTCAGGTATGCCTTGCCATGACTCATGTTCAGCTCATGACATGTACATGACAAGTGACATGGTGGTCGGATGAAGCTTACGGTTTAGTACACTGGAATCAACAAGCTCCTAAGCCTTAAATAGTGAAAACAAACACTGCTTCTTCTCTTAGATATCAGGATATTTGTTTTGGTGTCTTGTTAGACTTCAGTGAGAAAATATTTTGCTGCCCGATTTCCTGTCATTAGAATAGGTAACAGTAGAATGGACCGATTAAAGAATTTAGACATAGGAAACATGATTTAAACGTTGCACAAATTAATGATGACATATTTTTCAATGATTAAAATAAATTGTTGTTGTTGGCCAACAATCACATATATTTGCCATAGCAACTGGGTTAATCACTTGTCTGCTTTTTCTTATGTCGGAAGGACACATTTTATTGCACCTACAGCTTTGTATTATGGCTTATTCCTTTGTAGATAAATAATCAAAGGTATTTTTCACTTTGTGTGCTTGACAATTTATTTAATCCTGCCATGTTGTTTGATTTGAATGTCAATAAAGACCAATTCATGGCTCATTTGATTAATGTTGATAAAGTGGACCCAGGTGAACTTGTAACCTTTGTCCTTCCTTCTGATCGATTGTCAGCCAACCCACTTACCTACTAGATATCCATCTCGGCATATCAAATCAAGGTATATCATTTCAAGAAATGATCCAGGTTGTGAGTGATAATCTCACTTTGAACCCCAGGGTGTTGGCACATTACCCCAAGATAGAGAGATAACCAGGTGGGACTGGCATAGAACCATGCAGGGTACACTGTGGAAACAGTTCACACAATGCTAGCCTGTAACCCACACCATAATGATAGAGGGGAATCTAGGCCCTTCTTTACTTACACGGTCGTTTACATGCCAGCTGAATGTGGAGATAATGTGATCATTTCTAAGGTTGGGGGGGTATAATCAGCAGTGACCATCTTTGTTGGTTGATTTCCAGTACAAACATCAGTTGAAGCAGTTGTGGTTGAGTAGGTGTTGTTACACTGTAAAGAAATAAAGATCAAATTCTTGCCTTTCTTTATGATGTTCGACAAAAACATCACTTTGTGTTGTTGGGTGTTGTCAACTGTGTCATTATGTCTTAAACATCATTACAGTGTGATGTTGCTGTTGAGTCAGTAATCTTCCACACATTTCATCGTTCTTGCCACCTGGGGGATTGAGGCTGAAGGCTTTTAAGGTTGCTATTTTGATATTTCTTTTGTTATTTTGAGAATGCAGATGTGGAAACAATGACGAATGCAAATGGACAGATAGGAGTCACAAAGATGTCAAAAGTGTCTCTACTTTGGGTGGTTGCCATCATTTCATGCCACATGGGGCAAATATTCCAGCCTGAGCATGATATACATGAAATATGGCTTTGTTTCAAGATGAGTGATGGTTTGGAGATTTAATGTGTTGTTTCCATCATATTGCTATTTTCTCAGGTGTTAGAAAACCAGGCAGAAGTCATATATTTATGTGATGTTTTAATTCTGGTCATAAGGATGTCTTTTGTATAAAAGTGTATCGAGTGTATTGCTTTAGTGATAGTGAGGATAGGTCACCACAACAGCTGTCTTTATTTGAGCTAAATTAACCTGGTAGACGTCATACTTGTGTCGTCAACACAGACACTGATCAGTCTAGAGTTACTTCATTACAACACAATAGCTATTACCACAGTTACACGTCAGTGATTAGCACATGGGTGGACATTGGAGACGGAGCCAGTCATGCTTTATCAGGCACGACATCCCCTCTTCCTCCCAAACCCACCCCTGACCTCCCCCAAGTCCTGGCCTTTGATGTGTTTGTGGGGGACCCTTGTGGGTGTATTTAGCCATTATCAACACATACCCGCAGCTCATGACTGGGACAAACAAGTCTAGCAATAGCTTGACCAACTAACACAAACGTTGACTTATCTTGTAACATTTGGATCGCACACCAAACAAATATGAGGAACAACAGCAGGTTTCGTTGACTGGGGCAAGGGGATAAGGGTTTGAAGCCTGAGTTGATGAACACAAGAGTGGGTGGATTTGGTTGGGGTGGATTCTTTCCTAAATTCTGGTGTGAGAAGTCAGATTTTGAGAAAGGACTGATGTGTGTACCTTGGATGAAGCTGTGGAGTATTTGAGGATGTAACACCAGACCCAGTGTATGAGATATGTATGTTTTCAATATATGTATCGAAACAAGATCTTGGTTTATGGTTGTGATGATGTATGTTCTTGTAGGACATACTTGGTGAAGTGTCTTATGATTTGTGGATAAAATATTTTTGCCTGAAACCACCAAAGATACCAGACATTGTATTCTATATTGAAATACCATGAATAATCTTTTGTTGTTTTAAGCTGTAAAATGTGGAAATGTTTCACATAAACCAAATAGTACGGGTCAACAAAATCGAGTCCTCTACCAGATTCCCACTTGATGTATCTCGTGGGAATAAAACTGTCAGCCTTCCCCCAGGGACTGAATATTGTTCATTCAGCCGTTTCAGTGCTGAATAAGCATTAAACTTGCTTGCCAGTTTGAGTTGGGTGTACAGGGTGTGCTGGCGTGGTGTACGCTGCCTGTATTGTTGCTTGTTGGTCTTATCTGTTACATACAATATTGCCAATAACAGCTTCTGTGGGAAAGTCACACATGAGCCTGCTGGTTCTCACCCCTTGTAACGGTTCACGTAGTAGATGCTGTAGACACTGTTGTAGGTGCTGATCATGTTGCTGAAGAGAACTTTATTGAAGGAGTTTTGTATTTACGTTTAGTTATAGAATTTAAGTTCTTGAAAAGTGTAAAGGATTATTTCTGGTACTTAAACATGTTAAAAGTTTATTAGGGTTTTAGGAGATGGCAAGATGTTTGAAACGGGTGTGATGGCTGAAATTTGATATTGTTTATGAAGTTTTCTTGGAAAGAAGTATCCATAACTACCTATCTACAGTACACTGAAATTCATGGTTTTGATTTCCGATGTGCAATTCATACTAATCTACTTGACATCTTGAGTTTAATATAAGTATCATTCCACTTTTCCTTCATTCCTAGAATACAGGACACTGTGGGATATTATTGCAGTGAAATACTATTTTTATTCTGTCTGATGTCTGCTTCCTGTGAAGTGGGCGTGCACTTGGAGTCGGAAGTAAGCTTAGGGAGGTTAATCCTCCGGGCATTGCAAGGGTCAGAAAACAGTATGTTGTCGCATGTACGCTTAAGTTAGATCAGGCTTATACACACAGTCCTGGCTTTGCTGGATGATCAGAAATCAGAAAAATAGTCTTGGGAGGGACAATTTGTTTGCCAGGTATTATCAGTGCATTTGGAAAGCTAGTTAACCTAAAATCATTTATTGTGAAAATGAGGATGTGTGGATGTCTAGACGTGGCAACTTGTGAATATGAAATGGAGGTTTTATTTGAAATATACTTCATGTAATTTGAAATTCACTTTTGATGAGAAACCATCACATTATTCATCACCAAGCCAGAGATTTCTTCATTATGGAACTTTGAGGGCCAACAGATGATATCAGTCAGACCATAAAGTCCAATTAGAACCTGTACAATCATATCACAAACAAACAAATCACTCGTGTGTTTTCTAATTGGCAAGAAATTTTGCAGACCTTGCTCCATCCATCAGATACTAAATGGGTGTTTTGGTGACCAAGTGGTTCACTTGTCAATGCTAGCTTTGATTATATTTCTTGTATGTCCTTGCTGTCATGTTGCTAAAATATTGCTTAAAGCTCTGTGAAAAAGTCACACACTTTTAAAAAGTAATGTCTTACCTATTTGGCCAACAATCATATTGACAACCATGATTGTATTTTTGTCAAAAGCTTTCCCGAGAATGAACTGAGCAAGTGTTTTTGCACTTTTTAAAAAACGTTGAAAGTCATCAAAAATGTTTATCAACAGATTAAAATGTTTTCCTCAAGCAATCTGTATGTGATATGTTGCATACATTGTGTCATTCACAGTAATATGTTTACAGGTGCTGTAGTACTATTAATAATTAAACATTTTTCTGTAACAGTTGACAGAGTCATAGATACTTTCCTATCATGAGCCCTTCCTTGTTGATACCAGTATGTAGTGGCGTGTACACACACTGAAGGATGCGAAGGGTGGGATATGTGATTCTCCAACTTTTGAACTCTTGTCATGTGGGATTGTTAATTGTGCTAATTGCTTAATTGTTTGTTGCAGTTTTGGCAAGAGGACACAAGGATGTGCCCGTCGAACCAGCGAGTGCCTCACACTCGAGCCCTCCGAGATGATAGCAGTGAGTAAAAGTTGTACATATTCTTCTCTAGGCTGTCATACTCTTCTCTAGGCTGTCATACTCTTCTCTAGGCTGTCATACTCTTCTCTAGGCTGTCATACTCTTCTCTAGTCTGTCATACTCTTCTCTAGGCTGTCATACTCTTCTCTAGTCTGTCATACTCTTCTCTAGGCTGTCATACTCTTCTCTAGTCTGTCATACTCTTCTCTAGGCTGTCATACTCTTCTCTAGTCTGTCATACAGACCCTGAAACAAGAAAGTCCATGCAAGTCTAGAAAATGTGGCAAGTCTAGATTTCCACTGTTTCAGGATGAAGAAAGTCTCGGGGCTCCTTTTCATTATATTTTATGATTTTTTTTTTTGAGCAACTTTTTCTTTACAATATATTCATTTTAGGGACTACATGTTAGTCTTAACTCTTCTCCTGTTTCATCAAATGTTGATAGACTGGGTAAATAAGTCTCTTGAAGTTGAACGTACCTTGTATACAGCATGTAGTAAAGGTAAATATTTATGTTGAATTTACTGCAGGTTGTTGATGCAAATCTAGGTAATCCACAAGAAAAATTATAGTGAAACCAACATACTTATTTTGGTAAATTTGAATCCACAACAATGAGTCAAGCCTAAAAGGCAAGTCGTGCCACCTTGGTAAGACAGCTTGGTCGGTACCCCTGGTCTGTGGAGGATATTTGATCATTTGGTTAACACCTGATGTGTGTGGATCTGTTGGTATCTTTAAACTTGCTGTGCTCTGCTTCCTGGTATAATTTCCTCCTTTGCCAGGTAAATCCACAGGGGTTGTGAACAGTGTTGTCATTTGTTGAAGTTGCATCAGGTCAAAGATTCAGGTTGATTTTCCATAGTTTTACCTAGCTATAACTGTTGGATTTTGAATTTGACAAATATTGTGAAAGTGACAGTACGAGGAATGGCTCATTCCAAAAAGCATTCCGAGTGCTACAGCTGTCGTGAACACCATTCAGCAATATTTACCAACATGTAACACATTCTGATGGAGATGGTTTACAGATTGGCCTGGCCAAGGTTTGATTTCACAAATTACAGTCAGTAGGTGGTAACAGCAAGAGGTGTTTTTAGATGTGTGCATGGCTTAAACTTAAATGAGATCTGACTGTCCTGATCTTGATTTGTGGTGGACCATGAAAGGCCTGCAGCATTAGACAATACAATTGAAGGAGGCAGGGTTGAGACCAAATACTGTTATATCTGGAGATAAACCCTCATCTGGCAGTGTAGTGAAGAGAATACCTCCGGGGAAAGACATTCCCTATAACACCATGATTAACTGGACAGTGAAGGTGAGGTGAGGTGAAAATTGGGTTTAACGTCACGCTGGAGAATATTTCGCTCATATGATGACGTGCATGCATGTGTATGTGTATGTGGGCTGCTTGTACTAGCCCAGACTTAAGCTGGTTTTATAGTGCTAGCTCACTGAGATACCATGCCGCAGTGAAGCATGAATACCCCACTCAGACACATTATACTGACTCCGAGCCGACCAGTCCTTGTTGTACCCATTAATGCCGAGCACCGGGCAGGGACCAACAAGTACCATATTTTAACATCTTTTGGTATGACGCGGTCGGGGATCGAACCCGCGACCTTCCACTCTCCGGCGGACGCTTCTAACCACTACACCACGGGGCGGTCTTGACAGTGAAGACCTCTGTCCTTGTGTATATGTTAAACCATTAAAGAACCACTAAACTTTGTTTTTGTTACTCTTTTAACCATTACATATGACAGATTTGTGGTTAGTCTTATGCGGAACACCAAATTTATTCTTTAAAACTTGTGGTTAATTAATACCGAGCGATTAAAAGTGGCCAAAAGTCGCCTCGCTTCCCTCGCCCGCCAACGAAACCACAGACAGGTTACGTAACTCTGTCGCCAGAGCACTGCAGTGACGCCATATGAGGAACGATTTTCAGTTAGTTGTATAGAAAATGTGTAGCACGCTCATCATTTTGATGATTTCTCGACATCAACGACGACATGCCGAATCGTTGCTTTGTCGTCAATTGCTCCTAGGGGTCGGGCGATGGTGTCCCTATGCACAGATTTCCACAGGACCCCGCAGTTCGTAAGCTAAATGGGTTATGTTTGTGAGTGCGAAGCGAGCGTTGTGGAAGCCTGAAACGATATCTTACTTGTGTTCAGATCGCTTCACTGAAGTTAAAGAATCAAAACTACTTACTAGTTGTAGTAAAATATGCATATAATTGATGACCATAAAGATTTTCTATGACACAACTTGTAACATAACGATTTCTTCCTCGAAGTGAGGTTGTGGTCGGCAACAATAATATTGTAAGTAGTATTATATTGACACCCACCTCGCTGCCACGAGAAATTGTTATGATATACGCTATGTCATGCAAAACTCCTATTGGCCATCAATAAAATACATATTTTACTACCAGTAGAAAGTAGTTTTGATTTTAGACCGGGTGAAAACAAACCTAAATACCATTTATCCTCAGACTGGCGGATGTTCCCGACAGGGCGCCGCATTTTTAAAAATAAAAAATCTGTTAGAATTAATGAGATTATAGTTTGTTTTCATCAAGTTAGAAAATCAAGACTACTTTCTACTCGTTGTTAAATATGTATTGGAATCATAACCAAACGGATTTTGCATGACACAACTTATAACATAACGATTTCTTCCACGGAAGCTTGTGTGGGGGTCGAAGTCACAATACTGCGCGATAAATTTCTTGCTACATTCCCATGGTTAATGTCCACTCACCAGTATGTAGATACTAGTCAATGTGCGTCTTTATATTTGGTCTTATAATCCTAATTAGTTTATTATCACACTTGTATGCATTTTGAAACTAAATAAAAAGCAGACGATCTGCTGATACTTATAGTGAATTTATAACAGAACTGTAATATCTAGACATTTTATAGTTTGCCAATGTGAATCATAATTCGCACACACACCCTAGTGCATGTTGTCTGTCTCATTACACTTCACGGCGAAAACAATGATTCTGTTGAATGCTACGACAAATGAATAAAACAAAATGCAAATATTAAAATTAAAACAGATTAAAGTTATAGGAACAATATCAGGCCATTACCTTGTTCGAGGAATGTATCCATCAATATCCACAAAACTGTTCCACATGATGTGTCTTTTAACAGTTTAATATACTTAAAAAGTGATAAATCTTTTCAGGTATTGGTGTATAGTCTCATTGGTCACCCAAGATAGCACACCTGGCAACTAATTGCATAATGTCCGCCTTTCTTTAAAAACAGTAATTTAGTTAGCCAATAATGGGCAATCAATCAATGTATTGCCGGTTAATCCTTTGAAAGAAGGGCGCTTGTTTTTACGCAGACACCGACACGACAGAGTGTATTCAGTATAGATTAGTAAATCTACATACATAAACACTACCTTTGACAATTCCGCTGTGTAAGATAAAAGTAATTAATCAATCAGCGTGTTATCGGTTAATCCTTTGATCGATGTTTATAATGTTGAATATTTACTCCAGACACAAGAAATGCCAAATGGGAACCTTTGTCGGTAATCTAAGTGTGTTACCACTAATTATACCTGTTTTAGATTCATTAACTGACCATCAAGTGAATGATGACAAATAACATGTGTAGGTTTATACCACCTAACACGGGTTACAACGAGGGAGTATTAATTGCTGTATTGCATGTGAAAACTTATGGGCCGACACTGTTTTGAGAATACAAACAGATTTTACATGACATGATTAAATATCAGTAAAACAACACAGAAATGGGATCAATTTGGATCAGTCATTATACAAATAGGGCCTAACGACACCAATCGATTTTGACAGAATCGTCAATGAAAACAAGTTGTAACTCAGAAACTAGGCAAAGCAGGAGACAAAATTAAATGACAGTAGATTGTGAGAACATATAGCTTTCATTTTCCACAACAATTGTCACGATTTCAGGTTTATACAAGCCTGTAAACACGATAATTTACCCCTAAAATGTAGATGAATTCTGCATCGGCTCTCAAAGCTATTCCTCATATGACGTCCACAGAGGCGCGCCGCTCTGATTGGTTGAAATTTCGTTCGCTGGGTGAGAATTGTGCACTGTTGTCAAAAAGGTCGATTTAAGTCAATTAAAGGTCGAAAATGAGTAGTTTTAATGACGGGGTTTCATTTATAACGATGCCAGTTAGTGATTTATGTATTTGTACCCCTAGGGTTTATGTGACCTTTAATGAGGAAGTGGAAGTATTGTGAGAATATCTCTTTCTGAGGACTTTAATTTAAAGAACCACTAAACTTTGTTTTTGTTACTCTTTAACCATTACATATGAAAGATTTGTGGTTAGTCTTATGCGGAACACCAAATTTATTCTTTAAAAACTTTGTGGTTAATTAATACCGAGCGATTAAAAGTGGCCAAAAGTCGCCTGCTTCCCTCTCGCCCGCCAACGAAACCACAGACAGGTTACGTAACTCTGTCGCCAGAGCACTGCAGTGACGCCATATGAGGAACGATTTTCAGTTAGTTGTATAGAAAATGTGTAGCACGCCATCATTTTGATGATTTCGACATCAACGACGACATGCCGAATCGCTGCTTTGTCGCCAATTGCTCCTAGGGTCGGGCGATGGTGTCCCCATGCACAGATTTCCACAGGACCCCGCAGTTCGTGCTAAATGGGTTATGTTTGTGAGTGCGGCGAGCGCTTGTGGAAGCCTGAAACGATATCTTACTTGTGTTCAGATCGCTTCACGGAAGTTAAAGAATCAAAACTACTTACTAGTTGTAGTAAAATATGCATATGATTGATGACCATAAAGATTTCTATGACACAACTTGTAACATAACGATTTCTTCCTCGAAGTGAGGTTGTGGTCGGCAAGTAACAATAATATTGTAAGTAGTATTATATTGATTACCCACCTCGCTGCCACGAGAGAAATTGTTATGATATACGCTATGTCATGCAAAAATCCTATTGGCTATCAATAAAATACATATTTTATTACTAGTAGAAAGTAGTTTTGATTTTGTAACTCGGTGAAAACAAACCTAAATACCATTTATCCTCAGACTGGCGGATGTTCCCGACAGGGCGCCATTTTTAAAAATAAAAAATCTGTTAGAATTAATGAGATTATAGTTTGTTTTCACTGCTTAGAAAATCAAGACTACTTTCTACTCGTTGTTAAATATGTATTGGAATCATAACCAAACGGATTTTGCATGACACAACTTATAACATAACGATTTCTTCCACGGAAGCCGGTGTGGGGTCGAAGTCACAATACTGCGCGATAAATTTCTTTGCTACATTCCCATGGTTAATGTCCACTCACCAGTATGTAGATACTAGTCAATGTGCTGCCTTTATATTTGGTCTTATAATCCTAATTAGTTTATTATCACACTTGTATGCATTTTGAAACTAAATAAAAGCAGACGATCTGCTGATACTTATAGTGAATTTATAACAGAACTGTAATATCTAGACATTTTATAGTTTGCCAATGTGAATCATAATTCGCACACACACCCTAGTGCATGTTGTCTGTCTCATTACACTTCACGGCGAAAACAATGATTCTGTTGAATGCTACGACAAATGAATAAAACAAAATGCAAATATTAAAATTAAAACAGATTAAAGTTATAGGAACAATATCAGGCCATTACCTTGTTCGAGGAATGTATCCATCAATATCCACAAAACTGTTCCAAATGATGTGTCTTTTAACAGTTTAATATACGAAAAAGTGATAAATCTTTTCAGGTATTGGTGTATAGTCTCATTGGTCACCCAAGATAGCACACCTGGCAACTAATTGCATAATGTCCGCCTTTCTTTAAAACAGTAATTTAGTTAGCCAATAATGGGCAATCAATCAATGTATTGCCGGGTTAATCCTTTGAAAGAAGGACGTTGTTTTTACGCAGACACCGACACGACAGAGTGTATTCAGTATAGATTAGTAAATCTACATACATAAACACTACCTTTGACAATTCCGCTGTAAGATAAAAGTAATTAATCAATCAGCTGCAGTTATCGGTTAATCCTTTGATCGATGTTTATAATGTTGAATATTTACTCCAGACACAAGAAATGCCAAATGGGAACCTTTGTCGGGTAATCTAAGTGTGTTACCACTAATTATACCTGTTATAAATTCATTAACTGACCATCAAGTGAATGATGACAAATAACATGTGTAGGTTTATACCACCTAACACGGGTTACAACGAGGGAGTATTAATTGCTGTATTGCATGTGAAAACTTATGGGCCGACACTGTTTTGAGAATACAAACAGATTTTTACATGACATGATTAAATATCGAGGTAAAACAACACAGAAATGGGATCAATTTGGATCAGTCATTATACAAATAGGGCCTAACGACACCAATCGATTTTGACAGAATCGCCTATGAAAACAAGTTGTAACTCGGAAACTAGGCAAAGCAGGAGACAAAATTAAATGACAGTAGATTGTGAGAACATATAGCTTTCATTTTCCACAACAATTGTCACGATTTCAGGTTTATACAAGCCTGTAAACACGATAATTTACCCCTAAAATGTAGATGAATTCTGCATCGGCTCTCAAAGCTATTCCTCATATGACGCCACAGAGGCTACCGCCTGATTGGTTGAAATTTCGCTCATGGGTGAGAATTGTGCACTGTTGTCAAAAAAGGTCGATTTAAGTCAATTAAAGGTCGAAATGAGTAGTTTTAATGACGGGTTTCATTTATAACGATGCCAGTTAGTGATTTATGTATTTGTACCCCCTAGGGTTTATGTGACCTTTAAATATCTCTTTCTGAGGATTTAATGAATAAAATGGTCTTGGTGGATGGATCAATTGGTGTGTGCAGAAGGTGAGGTGAGGTGAAATTGGGTTTTACGTCGTGCTTGAGAATATTTCGCTCATATGACGACGTGCATGCGTGTGTATGTGTATGTGCAGCTGCTTGTACTAGCCCAGACTTAAGCTGGTTTTATAGTGCTAGCTCACTGAGATACCATGCCGCAGTGAAGCATGAATACCCCACTCAGACACATTATAATGACTCCGAGCCGACCAGTCCTTGTTGTACCCATTGATGCCGAGCACCGGGCAGGGACCAACAAGTACCATATTTTAACATCTTTTGGTATGACGCGGTCGGGGATCGAACCCACGACCTTCCACTCTCCGGGCGGACGCTCTAACCACTACACCATGGGGCGGTCTTGACAGTGAAGACCTCTGTCCTTGTGTATATGTTAAACCATTAATGAGGAAATGGAAGTATTGTGAGAATATCTCTTTCTGAGGATTTAATGAATAACATGGTGGATGGATCAATTGGTGTGTGCAGGAGGGATGAATGGACAGATAGACTGACAGAATGACAGACCAAAAGAACACCAGGTAGCTGCCTTATTAAAGATGTTAACTTTGATGTTAATACACTCGGTACCCAAACGTCTCCAAATAGAGCCATATTTTTGCTGCCTAATTACCAGCAGTATGTAATAAAGCTTGCCTCAGACATTCTTGTATCAAACAAAACAGAACTGGCTCCAGGCCTGATAGAAAAACACAACAGGAAGATGAAGTTGACATTTGCAGCTGACATTTTGAAAGATCTTCTTTGTAGCAGATCCATTCTTTATTAACCAGCATGTTGGCCCTCCAGTGACATTTGATTTTGGGAGATAAGTTTGTGGCCTACTGATTGAACTTGTTGTTATGTCAGGGTTTGGGAAGCTGCTGTGACTTGTGATCAGTGGTTGAAAACTGGAGTTTATGAGGACTGGGAAATTAAAAACTTACTCCAAAGAGTCCTTGAAGTGTTTTATTTAGACTCTGTTTAGACTTAGATCTTGCTGATATGTTTGGATTAGATTGATTTGCCTCAAACCTTTCATGTCCAAGTTTAGATCCTTGTCATGGATGTGTTCTGTATATTTCACAACAGTGTCTTAATTTGTATATTCTTTAGCAGAGAGTTCTGGTGTATGGTGTTTTCTGTTGATCAGAGCATGTGATATGCTTATCTTCAATCATGATACAGATTTTTCCAATAAAGATATTTTCTTACACATCTTTCTTCGAAAGATACCAAAGCAGTTGTGTATCTGGTACGTTACAGGATATTTAACAATTGAATTTCCTCGAAGTCTGTCCTTGATGTGTGTATGTAAATTTAATTCGTTAATTTTCGCATTCAAACTTTTGACGTCACATTTCATTTAAGTCCACACAATGACTGTGTATGGATGGACCTACTTCCTTTAGTTCCGTTGTGGGCCTGAACTGGCAAATTGTATGAAACAGACTTAATAGTGAGTTCATCCTAGTCGTCTTCCTTGGTAGGCAGGGGTCTGTTTCCTTTGTCCATGTCACCACACAATCCTAGAAGCCTACTTACAATAGCCTAGTTTAATATCCTCTTGCTGTATGTTGGATTGTTTCAGTATATCGGGGATGTAACACACTGCTCTCTAGCTTGAGTTCAGTCAGGGCATGTGGTAATCTATGATCACTTTGGTGGATAATATGATGTGTTTGGAATTCCATTTTTCTTGAGGAGTTGTTTCTTTTGGATTAACCTGTGGATTATCTTTGTGATTATCTTTCTGAAAGATGTTACGTTATGCAAGAAGGGTGTCAAAGGTTAGTAGAAAGTTGTGTGGCTTTGTTGAACGTTCACACTTACGTGCGATATGGAACACAGTAGATAAGGTAGCTGTTTAGTCACTGAAGGAAAGGCCAACGGATCATTAAATACAGCTGGAAGTGAAACCTTGTTGGATTTTTATGACATGTAATTAAGAGGATTATGTATTTGATATTTTAGCAATAATTGGAGATAATGAGAAATGACCACATTAATGATAGTGTTTCCTTTTGAAGAAGTATTTGATCAGCTGTGTACTTTGTCATTATGTGATATAAGTATATAAATCAGTCCTGGGTTGTTTTGTTGTTATGTTAGAACAGTTAGATGTTACATGTAAAAACTTCCTCATATTCTGTTAGCATATGATGAAAGGCGTCAACTGGAAATATATATATTAAATATATGTAATAACTATATTAAATAAATATATTATGCTTGTCTTGGCTTATGAGTTTAAAAAACATGAAGATTATCCATTAGATTTAGTTATATCGTCAAGGGAGGAATGAAAAGTATTTTCACTTGTCCATAATGTGGTTCAGGCACTGAGCAAGACTGGGCCAACATGGTGGGAAGTGTTGTGTGTCACGTCCATGCTTGACATAGAGTCATTTGTAAGAAATTGGCTGTCTTCTTTTCAGATTGATTACCCTGATGTCCAGTTGATGAAGTCTGGGCATCGCCTGCCCTGCCCCACGGCTAGCTTGGACAGACTCTTAGCTCTAGATCCCCACGAAGACAGCCGCATCCGAAGAATGGACAGTGGCATTGAACAGGTAGGGTATTTCTTCAGTCCACAGTGGTCTTCAGTCCACAGTGGAGGCTTCCAGGCCTGTCTGTGGAATGTGTCATGCTCTGATGTTTCTTCAGTTAAAATTGTCTCTTTGAGGCTAGGAGTTTACTGTCACAAGCACATTTCAGTGGTCCTGGATTAATTAGTTGTTATGTATTTGTTTCTGATGGTACTAGTTAAAATATGGCTGCTCTCAACATTCATGAATTGTTGGATAGTTTTGGAATGGTATATTCATGGATAGTTCTCAGTCTGGTTCGTAATGACAGATATGGTTTGAATCTTTGAATGCTGAATTTTCAGACAGCACTGGTACTTGTATGCTGCACTAAAACCTGAATTGTATCAGCTTCTTGATCAACTTTAATGTTGAATTGAGTGTGAGATGTTGTACATTGGTTGAGTGTGGGATGTTGTACATGGGATGAGTTGAGTGTGGGATGTTGTACATGGGATGGGTTGAGTGTGGGATGTGGTGCATGGGATGGGATGTTGTACATGGGATGAGTAGAGTGTGGGATGTTGTACATGGGATGAGTAGAGTGTGGGGATGTTGTAGATGGATGATGTGTGGATGTTGTACATGGGATGGGTTGAGTGTGGGATGTTGTACATGGGATGAGTTGAGTGTGGGATGTTGTACATGGGATGGGATGTTGTACATGGGATGAGTTGAGTGTGGGATGTTGTACATGGGATGAGTTGAGTGTGGGATGTTGTACATGGGATGAGTTGAGTGTGGGATGTTGTACATGGGATGGGATGTTGTACATGGGATGGGATGTTGTACATGGGATGAGTTGAGTGTGGGATGTTGTACATGGGATGGGATGTTGTACATGGGATGGGATGTTACATGGGATGAGTTGGGTGTGGGATGTTGTACATGGGATTGGATGTTGTACATGTTGGAGTGGGATGTTGTACATGGGATGGGATGTTATTGTACATGGGATGAGTTGAGTGTGGGATGTTGTACATGGGATGAGTTGGGAGTGTGAGATGTTGTGGTACATGGGATGAGTTGAGTGTGTAGAGATGTTGTACATGGGATGGGTTGAGTGTGGGATGTTGTACATGGGATGGGATGTTGTACATGGGATGAGTTGAGTGTGGGATGTTGTACATGGGATGAGTTGAGTGTGGGATGTTGTACATGGGATGAGTTGAGTGTGGGATGTTGTACATGGGATGGGTTGAGTGTGGGATGTTGTACATGGGATGAGTTGATGGTGTGGGATGTTGTACATGGGATGAGTTGAGTGTGTGTTGGGATGTTGTAGATGGGATGAGTTGAGAGTGGGATGTTGTACATGGGATGAGTTGAGTGTGGGATGTTGTACATGGGATGGGTTGAGTGTGGGATGTTGTACATGGGATGAGTTGAGTGTGGGATGTTGTACATGGGATGAGTTGAGTGTGGGATGTTGTACATGGGATGGGATGTTGTACATGGGATGAGTTGAGTGTGGGATGTTGTACATGGGATGAGTTGAGTGTGGGATGTTGTACATGGGATGGGATGTTGTACATGGGATGAGTTGAGTGTGGGATGTTGTACATGGGATGGGATGTTGTACATGGGATGAGTTGAGTGTGGGATGTTGTACATGGGATGAGTTGAGTGTGGGATGTTGTACATGGGATGGGATGTTGTACATGGGATGAGTTGAGTGTGGGATGTTGTACATGGGATGGGATGTTGTACATGGGATGGGATGTTGTGAGTGTGGGATGTTGTAGTGGGATGGGATGTTGTACATGGGATGAGTTGAGTGTGGGATGTTGTACATGGGATGAGTTGAGTGTGGATGTTGTACATGGATGAGTTGTTGTACATGGGATGGTTGATGTTGTACATGGGATGGGATGTTGTACATGGGATGAGTTGAGTGTGGGATGTTGTACATGGGATGGGATGTTGTACATGGGATGGGATGTTGTACATGGGATGAGTTGTTGTATATGTATATATGCATATGCAAGTGGGAAATAACATTTGAAGCATGAAATTTAAAACTAAAATACTGTTATAGAATGTGATATGTACACATATCTGTCAGTATATCTGGAAACTCCCATTGTGTTGTGGGATAGCATGAATCATATCTAAGCCACAGTTTAGCATCCTGATACAGGAACCAAAAGGATGTAAGCATAGACACTGTTACTGAATGTAAATATAGAAGTAACATACATACATATACTGATTTCAAAGGATTTCAGGAAAAATATGTGGACATATGAATTGGGAGGATTATCTGTTAATATTGATTTACTGATAAAATTATTAGTTTCTCTGCAGGACGTTTCCAATAACATGATTGGTTTGTAGTCGAGGTCTTGAATAACTAAACTCTAAGTCATAGTCATAAATTCAAATATCAACAATTTATGAAAATGTCCTTGTTTACCTTCCAGTTAAATCAATTGAATATTAACTGAGTTATTTTAAAAAGTTTGACTTCAATGATTTCTGAAGTGTATGGCACTCTGGAACCTCCAGCATCATATTTTCAGTTAGAACAGGAAAGATGTATTTGCCAGCATTTTGCTTTATTTTTTTTGTACAGACAAATAGGATTAAAAATTATTTTTAGTACATGTATTATTTGAATTTTGATTTCATTTAATAAGTCCAAAAACTGCCTTCCTAAAGTATCAGACCTGTCAAGTGATGTGAGAAAGAGCGACAATAGAGGAGCAGAGATATGTTACAGTTTTGTTATCTGGTGTGATTGTTAGTGATGTAGACTATCCATGACCAGGAAGAGGAAATGAAAGCTTAGTCAATGATAATTTTGGGGCGTGCATCCTTCAAAGATCTATTTTGTTCTTGATGCTACTTCGTCTGCTTTCTAATGAAACCATGGTAAGAAGAAATGCCCACTATGTAATGTTGATTGTCATTTGGAAGTGGAACACAGTCTCCTGTTAACATGTCATTATGTAATGTTTTTGTCTGTGATTATGAAGTGGAACACAATCCACTTTTAATATGTCACTAGTGCAAGCTTTGTTTGGATAGTGTTACAGGGAAAGGAAGTGTGAAAGTGGGTGGACTTGGGTTACGCCATGTTTGAGTCAACCAGTGATCACATCCTGTTTCTAAACTCACACTTACAGTAATAATCAGGCTGCAACAGTTGAATGTTATAAAACATACTACTTACAAAGCTCTGCTTGTCAAGGAAGTTGAGTTTTGTTGTGTTTGTGGCTTAATGCCGCACAGTGCTATTTTCCACCTATATGACAGCGGTCTGTAAATAATCGAGTCTGGACCAGACATTCCAGTGATTGACCTAATGAGCATAGGTTTATGCAATTGGGATATGGTGACATACATCAACTGACTGAGTTTGGTTTTACGCCGCTTTTAGCAATATTCCAGCAACATCACGGCGGGGGACACCAGAAATGGGCTTCACACATTGTACCCATGTGGGGATTCGAACCCGGGTCTTCGGCGTGACGAGCCAACGCTTTAACCATTAGGCTACCCCACCGCCCCGACATACATCAACCAAGTTAGAGGTCCTGACCACCTGATCCTGTTAGGTGTTTCTTACGATAAGCATAGTTTACTGAAGATCAATGAAGATCTTCACAGGTCTTGTGTGTCTGTAACAAAGATGACACACGTTGTATACTGACACAAGCAAGATGGCCAAAAGTCATGAATTATCATGAAAATATTTGTGACTAAATTTTACAATTGATTATGAACAAATTGTGTAATGTCAATCAGTGCTGTGTGTTCCAGTTGTAAATACCGCTTCCGTGGTGTAGTGGTTAGAGTGTCTGCCTAGAGAGTGGAAGGTCGCGGGTTCAATCCCAGGCTGTATCTTACCAAAAGACGTTAAAATATGGTACTTGTTGGTCCTTGCCTGGCGCACAGCATTAATGGGGATAACAAGGACTGGTAAGCTTGGAGTCTGGGTTAGTACAAGCAGCCTCGCGCATGCACATCGTCATATGAACAAAATATTCTTAAGTACAACATTCAACCCCATTTCACCTCACCTCCAGTTGTAAATGTAGCTGTCTGTGTTTCAGCTGGCTGGAGACCTGCAAGTGCCCAATGCCATGTACAGGATGGAGCAGTACCCCCGGAATGAGCAGTTCTACAAACGCAGTTCCCGAGCCAGCGACACTTCCAGTGCATATTCTGGTTCAGACATGATGCAGTCCTCCATTGATGACCAGGATGCAGCAGAGATGGACTACAGTGGGCTGCAGGAGAGCCTCGTGGACTCCGATGAAGAAGAGGGATATGCTGAATCCACTGAGGTAACTGTAAAACTGCTTGTCTTGTGCCAGAAATTGATCTGCTATGGTAAATTGGCACTCATGAACGTTTATCAGGTAATATCAGTATGTGAATAATTTATATCAATTTGTCTGAACTTTTGAGCTTTTATTCCTTGTTTCAGTCATTGACTGTTCGAGACACTGTACGAGAATGTTTGGAGAAGGAACCGGCAGACAGAAAAGAAGATGATATAGAAATACTCTTAGATTTTATGCAGCATTTCAGAGTGAGTATAACTTCATTATGACATGAAAATGTATTTTTGTCATTTTCCGATACAGTTGTTAACTTGAATATTCAAATTAGTACTTCACAGATTTTTAAGAAAAAATTCTGTCTATCTGTTGCAGGCATTTGCAAACATGACTCTGGCCACCAGGCGGGCCCTGACGGCGGTCATGGTATTTGCAGTGATTGAGAAGGCAGGCACCATCGTGATGAAAGACGGAGAAGAGCTGGACTCATGGTCCGTCATTGTCAACGGCGAGGTGAAGGTCTCCCACATGAGCGGGGAGGTGGAAGTGCTGCACATGGGAGACAGGTACACCCAATTGGCTAGCATGGTGGTCACCTCAAAATGACTGATCTCTTTCCATAAGTGGAACTTGAGCAATATCTGGTTAAAAAAGTGTAGACAGTAAGGCTATATTTCAGTTGTGAAGATGCAGAACAGCTGGAGACTTAATGTCTGTAAGAAACCACTGAGTGTAGTCATTTGGGATTTGGGGCAGAAGAATTTTACTGTAATGACTGAGAGGACTTCTTTAAACTTTTAGTTCCTCATTCCCTTCTTCGTACCGAGATGGCATACATGCCACATTGTTGCACCCCTAACCAGGATCTGCTTATTGTGGGGTAAAATATTCCACATATGCAGTAGTTATGTGTCACTTGAGCTTTCCACACCCTATTTATCAAGCTGATATTGCTGATATATTTTGAGAGTGACCAAAACATCTCTCTGTCCCTCTCTCTTACTCTCTCCCTTCCCTATGTTCCAGCTTTGGAATCACCCCGACCATGCAGAAGATGTACCACCAGGGGGTGATGCAGACCCTTGTAGATGACTGTCAGTTTGTCTGTATAGAACAACAGGCCTACTACAGGATCCTAAGCCAGGTATCTGTCGTCATGGAAACACAAAATATGCAGAATATATCGTCAGCTTATTTAGTGCATGAATTCCAGTTTGAAATTATTGTCAACATTGAAGTTGCTTTATTACTGTAATTGTAACAGATGAATTTTGTTCTTTTCACAATGTCCTTATGATCACTTATGAAGAAGGTGAGTCTGTAATCCAGGGTGTAAGTTAGTGGTGTTGATGTTACAGGGAGAGGAGAACACAAAGCGACATGAAGAGGAAGGTCATGTAGTGATGTTGACGGAACATCGGGAACTGGATGGCGGCAACAGGAGGGGGCATATAGTCATCAGGGTGAGCATCTACACAGATACAGATCCTGGGTATATGTTCACTGTTTAGACAATTGACACTATGCTGACCACATGTTCTGATGGATATTTACTGATCAAGACCAGCCCTTGAGATCCCAGGAATGGAATCAAGGTGGTAATTTTCTGATCCGTTGTTACATAATGTTAACAATGGATATATAGATAATCTCACCCTCGTGTCTACTGATATCAATTATATCAACACTTGATAAAGTTACAAATATTCAAGGCTTGCCGAGGATATTTTTACCTTTATCAACGTGTGTTGATGTAATTGATATCAGTAGACACGAGGGTGAGATTCTATTTATCATCAAAAATCATTCTTCATTAGTTTTCAATGAAGATTGTACATCTCTCAACACTGTACTACCATTAGACTTGCAGTGCAGCGATGTCATAGCATTGTGACGTCATTAAGTTGATGATGTCATAGCATTGTCAGGGCATTGTGCAAAATCTACTGTCAAAACGATATCTCCTAGGATCATATGATCTCACACAAGAGATATCTCCTGTGGAACACAGTTTTGGATGATAAATTCTTGATGGTTAGTATTTTTCATACTTATATTTCCATGACGGTATCAGAAAGCTCTACTGTTGTTTTCAGGGCACGTCCGAGAGGCTGATGCTCCACCTGGTGGAGGACCACTCGGCTATAGACCCTACCTATGTAGAGGACTTCCTGCTCACATACAGAACATTTCTAGAAACTCCCTTCTACCTGGCACATAAACTCCTGGAGTGGTTTGGTCAACCAATCCTCAGATCAAAGGTAAAACACAGTGTGAGGGGAGGTAACTCTGTCATGCACACATCTGATTCAACTTACTGAGAGAATAAATCTTAGTGTAATTCTACCGTTAGTGAATGTTATTCATTTAATTGCTGTCAGTAATATTCCTGTTGTTAATTGCTAAATTAACACCGAAGTTACCTTTCAAAAGATGGTTATTATTATTTTTTTAACGTGCTGACATTTACTTCTTTGCATATTTGTAACCCTGTTGTTAGCGATAGTGAGTGAGTTGCACTCAGCAATATTCCAGCTATATGGCGACGGTCTGTAAATAATAGAGACTGGACCAGACAATCCAGTGATCAACAGCATGAGCATCGATCTGCGCAATTGGGAACCGATGACATGTGTCAACCAAGCCAGCGAGCCTGACCACCCGATCCCGTTAGTCGCTTCTTTCGACAAGCATGGGTTACTGACGGTTCATTCTAACCCGGATCTTCATGGGTTGTTAGAAATAAGCAGTATTAATGGAAAATCAAGATATGAAATACTAATCAATGTATATTACATTACATTTTGAAAATACTGGTTTGTTTCAAATGAATTCACATTTGCATCTTGTTGACAAAGTTTACATGAGTTACATGCCCTGTTGAAATTTTGAAATAAAATTTACAAGTCTTTCTTATTACTGGATTTAAATGCAGTCCTAAAGGTAGGCCAATGCTCATCACTGTTGCATAATAATATGCAAATACATGATCAAATTGCTTCTTGCAGGTTACAAGAGTGGTACTGTTGTGGGTAAACAATCATTTCAACGACTTCGAGACAGACACATCAATGTGTGAATTCCTTGAGGAGTTTGAAACTCTGTTGGAAAAAGAGGTGAGTAGTGTCCCCTTTATTTTAATGTTAATTCGTACACAAATGTTGGGTAAACCTAAGTCAAAGAGTACCTTGCTCTTTGTGAAAGTACTTCTCATGGACAAATGACGGATAATGTTTGATGTTTTACAGCCTGATGCTCTCACCGAGGTAAGACGTTGTTATGGGACATATTGGGTCAACTTGAACTTCTCTCTGTTCTAAACCTTCACTCCTATAGGTCGGGATGACCTCTGTGCATAATAAGCAAAAATTGTCTGTCTTATAAATTATACTTCAACAGGCAGGCATTGATCATGTAACTTTCTGTATTGTCATAATTGCTTCTTGAGTGTTACTTCTAACGCTGCTTTAATGTGTATCTTAATGCAAGCTTTTAAGCTACTTATGAAACACTATGTACTCCTTCCTGTGTGCCTGTACAAACGTCTTTTAAAATCATGACATGATTGTGTTCATGGAAACAGCTTCTTGTGTGTTCAAAAGTGTTTCATAGAGAAATGTTTGTGGGATAGGTCATCTTCAATATAATCCTCTGTACAAAATACACCTGTGTAATACAACACTATATGTACAACAGAAACCTTCTTGTTTACATGATACAACTCTTGTATGTCAGTACTGTAGTTCTCAATACCGTTTACCAGAACAACTTAATAGTATAATTAATAAACATTGTGCACATATATCATGCAAGTTCACAGTATGTATTTGACAGTATGTAATATTGCAATAATCTAAGCAAAACCTGACATGTTCCTATAGGCAGGGTTAGAATTAATCTATTATTTTCGAAAAAATGATACGTTCATTGCCATTTACCTTATGGAACATCTGATTGTCCACAAGGAAATGTACATGGTCTGTCATGAATGTTACTAGTCTCCGACTTGCAGACTTATGTTAATTTTGAACCCTGGAAGGTGAACGCTGCTAATCACCATGACCTCCCCCCTGCTAGGAGCGCACAGTGCATCCCGACCTGTAACCGCTGTACGTCACTAACCTTTTTATCTGCTCACTAATGTACTAACCTAGCTAACCTTTCCGCTCATCTTGCCTCCTTCCAGAAAATGATTGGTCAAATGCGTCTACTGAACATAGCATGTGCTGCTAAGGCACGTGTTCGAACAATCACGCTCACCCGAGCTACACGGGAAGAGATCCTGCGATTCCAGATCCTGGGAGGGTGTGAGCGAGGTCACGGCATATTTATTACTAAAGTTGAGAGAGGTTCTAAAGCTTTTGAAGCTGGTCTCAAAAGGGGTGATCAGGTGAGTTTTGGTGGGGGGGTTAACTCCTTCAGTTTGTTTCATAATTTTTGTTTACCTGAACTCTTACTGTACAAATTCCTGGGTTATCAGTAGGGTTAACACTGAACTAATGACTTTGTTGGAGGTAATCTGTTCTCTTGACCTATGTCTTGTTACAGTACGTCAGATGTTCATGTTAAATGTCTTCCCTTCAGTCTTTTGATTCAAGTTCGTTTTGTAAAAATAGTATTTTTAAAATGTTTTCAAACATGCTGTCTTATCATGGATGATTGTGTTTTGAAATCTGTTAATGGAACTTAGTTTGGTAAAAAAGACGTCAAACTGAGCACTGACAGGTGTATCACTGCCCTCAGCTTATTGTGAGACTGGTTGAGTTATCTCCCTTGTGTTGTGCTTCCAGATACTTGAAGTGAATGGGCAAAACTTCCACCAGATCTCCCACAACAAGGCTCTAGAGATCCTCCGTGGGACTACCCACCTGTCCATCACAGTCAAGTCCAACCTACATGGTCAGTGAATGTAGTCTTCTCTAGATCCTGGTATATTCTTAGTGAACTCAATTTAAAGCAAGTAACATTACTAGTGTGTATTGCTGTTCACAATTACTCATTAGAAATTACTCACAGACGAAAAACCTTTGTAAAAGCAGTAATGTAATAGCAAGAAAACCAAACTATTGCACAGATAAACATGTACATATGATGTTTAAGTTAAAATGTCTTTTTCTCAGACTAATAGCTGTTATACTATTATATGCATGAAAATGAATTCTTCTTTCAATTTTTATTCAGAATTTAAGGAAATGCTGCAGGCAGCTGACAAGAATACACCTAGGAAATTAAAAGCTGACTTTATCATGCCTTCAATGAAACAGAGGTTATCTGCCCCTGATCTGGATGCCTCTGTGCCAGTGATAGTGAATACCAAGGATAACAAGCATGACAAAAAGGACAAAGGTTTTATGGCTCTTGGAAATAGGCCTCGGTTAAAGAAAGCACTTATGAAGATGAATTTAATACCCAGAAATTTAAATAACAGGTATGTATGATATGTTCAATATAGATGGCAACAGATAGGATCTTGTTAACATCCAATCAGTGGAATGGATTGGCTCAGTGAAATGGTAGTTTTGAGAAAATATGTTGTCATTGGGAGTGAATTATTTAATATATATTTTCATTTTATTATTGTAATCATGATGTTTATTGTTTATTGCAATATTTATATTGTTGACTTAAGGTTGATAGCATCAATGAGATTTTTGGCACAAATGACCAAGACGACATATTTCCATCTATTTATGACTTTTCAGTAATAATGGTAGCATGAACCACTCCGACGAGAGCCTGTACCCAAACCCTTCCCGCAAGTCCTCGACGTCCTCTACCTCGTCCTCCAACACCGGCACTATGACAAACCATCTCAGTGCCAGCAATCCTGACCTCTCCCTGGCTGGGCTCACCGTCAACGATGCTGCCAGTGACTTTCCCGAACATGTCGTCAAAGTGTACAAGGCTGACCAGTCATTCAAATACTTGCCAATTCATAAGGTAAACACAATTTACAATTTGATGCTTATGTTGTTTGGCAGTTATCAATTTATGACTGATGTTGGATTTTGTTGCTAATTTGGAGAACACTACTGCAGACTTTTGGTTTCTTGGACATATGGTTTATAATTTTAACAACTTTGGATTTTTAAGTGAAGAAATTAAATTTCATTTATATCATTTTGTTCTGAGTATGATATGATTTTTCTATACCATGGAATAATTGGATATTTTTATTGCAGGAAACAACTTCCAAAGAAGTTGTAATGCTTGCCCTGCAAGAGTTTGGTATCACAGATCCCAGCTGGTGAGTTGATTTTTAAATTATCCATATAGCAATATCAGCTGAATGAGGGAGTCTCACAACCAGATGTGGACAATACTTTGTCAGATGTCAAATAAACACTCTCTGAGTACACGTATTTGGTAATTCGAATGATGATAATATCTTGGGTATTGTTCACACAAAAAGGATAATTGATGTATGATCAGTCTCATTGTTCATCAGAGAATGTTCAAAAGTTATATATTCAGTGATATGAATGGAATACTTTCCATGTGGAGCTAAACCCAGCTCATTCAATCCAGAACTTAACTTTCCATACAGCCTAGTATAACATAGGCATGGTAATGCTGAGGGCAGCACAACACAACAAACTTTACATACATGATTCATGTTTTCAGCAACTACTCATTATGTGAGGTAACAGTTCAGAACGAGGAAGTGATCAAACAGAAACGACTGCCGGACACACTGCCGAACCTGCCTGACCGACTTGGCCTCAACGGAAGGTGAGGGGGATTATGTCATCTCTCAGTTCAGACAGAGCTCGGTCCTGTTTCTAAAAGCAATCAGCGCAGTATGACTATCGAAGGTTGATGCCAATATATAGGGGTTGCCATTGTCGTAGCGATAAGATTGCTTTGTGGAACAGGGCTTCAATGTATAGGAGTGGTGTTTCAGGGTCTTGGTGTTCTAGAAGTGTCAGGAGTTAGATGTAAGGGGTTGTCTGTACAGTGGTAGGGGTTTGTCTGTACAGTGGTCGGCTGCTTGGATGTGTAGCAGTTGCAACCAGACACAATATGTTCATTTGTGCAGTTCAGTGTGAATAACCTTTAATGGGATTTTAGGATTTAAAAAAATTATTTTTGCCGATGCACATCTTAACCATGCACCGATAAATATTTGAAACTTTTAAAGCCAGTTTTTTATGGCAGTATTTTTTCTTTCTTCTAAGATCGTAGTGACATATTATTTTGTTCCTGGGTTGTGGTTTTGGTTTGACTGCTACAGATCGTGTGCACTGCGAGGGTACAGTATGTTTAGATATGTTTTAACATGTGTTCACTACATAATGTCTTCAGCATTCAATCTCACCTATATATAATCAATCACAGACCAACACATCCTATCACCACACTGTGTGCTGTTCACCATGGGGGTGGGAGTTTAGCTTCCTCTGCCACGTCTCTGTGGGGAGTTCAGCCTGGGAACCTACGTTAGAGTCTGTCACTTTGTAACCAAGTAATATTACAGTTCATCTTAAGTCACATTTCAAAGCATATTATTTGAGCGTTTTGCAGAATCCATGAAAGCCCCGAGCAGAGAGTCGAAGTGACCGGTAGTTCTGAAATTGACAACCAAAATTTTGCCTCCAAGCGTGCTTCTTGATGTTGTATGTACATGTGTACAACTTTGTACAACGTTTGGCATGCACCTGGCTACAATTTTGATTTTCGCTGCTTTTAAAGAAAAATGTTCCGCTGTGTGCATGGACTACCCTTGATCCCAATCATTCCTGTCGTCATTCATCGTGTACCTCCAAATCATCATCAATCATTGCCCATTAATCATCATTACACCCTCTACACCATAATCATCATTGACACACTAAACATGGTTACCATGGAAACGGGAGTAGAATCTTACCAGGCCTGGCTAACCTCTTCCACTCCACTAAGTTCTGTTAAAACATGTAATGTGGTTTTTGGGGTTATTTTAAACTTGTGGGAGGCACACCATTAAAAATGTGTAAATTTTTTAAGGAATTGAGAAATTTGAGAGAAACTGTAGCTGTGTTTTTACATAAGTAATTCATTTAAAAATGGTACGCTGAAAAAGAACAATCTGTGCCTCCTTACAAGATGATAACAAGCCCTCACTGGTGGTGTTGTGTTCAGGGAGACAATAATATTGACAATATTGAAAGTAATCCAGGTTTACAAAATGCATGATACTGACTAAAACATTGTAAATATTAATGGTAAAAGGTAAAACATCAATTATCTTGCTGCATAAAATATTCCATTTAATATGTGGTTAATACAGAATTCATGCATTTTGTAGAGTAATCCTTCCTTAAGTGTCTATGTATGATGCAAGTCTTGTGATTATGTATCCTCTGAATGGGTTTATACATACATTGTCAGAGTTATACAGTTTGCTTTGCTGTTTAATTATATGCTTTGGCATGTACACAGGTCATGCTGTCCATAGAATAGTGCATATATAGATATATCTGTTATTGTTGGAAATAGACTCATAGCTTGCTATGAATGGGATTGTGTGTTGTATCGATGTAGATGGATGTGATAAGCTGTTTTAGTGTAGACGATAGCCTGGAAGGTGGTCAAGATGTTGATGGTAATCTATAGACTTGCATGGATGCTAGGACAGTGATAGGATGGTACTGCATGTTGGTTGGAATGTTTAGTTCTGTATTTTGCACGGATGTGGTTTTGCACGTGTGGTGTTTGCAATCCTAATATGTTGTGAAATAATCTTGGTCATTCCCTGCAAGTTTTGGTACATTTGTGTATTATTTCTGTTACTATTTCTCATATTAATGACAATACTTTAGTATGGTATGTTATGACCATGTTTGAGATGGCAGTATTGTGCAGATCTGTGGAAACTGGGGATTCATCTAGATTACAACAAGCCCCACCTCAACCCATCTAACCAAAGTTTTAAGCCCAAACCTATCAAAGCGCAATGGCTCACTATACAAGACTAGTGGCCCAATCCAACATACAAATCTAGTGCCCCATCCCACCATTCAAGTCTAATGCCTGACTCCGCCATATAAGTCTAAAAGACCTCCCCACCATACAAATCCAATGACCCACCCTTCGTGCCATACAAGTCTAAAGCCCCTCTCCACTTTCAAGTAAAATGAATCACCCCACCCAGGCATACAAGATTAAAATACCCTTTGCTGTACAAGTCCAATACTCCACCCCACAATACAATGTTCCAACCCAAATCAGCCACTGTACAAGTCCAGTTCCTCGCTGTCCCACTCCATCACTGTTGATGTGTTCATATATCTATTCAGCCTTCACCCTCAGTTTCCAGTAGACGCCTATTTGCCATCTCCCAAGCATGTACAGATGCTTGTATTCAGTCTTCATGGATTCTTGTTGAATAATGCAAGCATTTCATTATTAAGCACTGTATTAAATGAACAGAAATATATACCTGTTATCTGATTGAGGAAAATTTGTCTCTGAAGACTGAATAATCCCAGTGTCCAGTTGTTTCTGTAGCCTAGTCTTAAGTCCTGTTCTCATTGCATGTCATCATTCATACTGTTATATGAAGAGTAACAACTGACTGCTTATTGTTTCTATTGTACAAGTAGTGCAGGAACTTCAGAATTTTAACTTTTGTAACTTGTGTTACTTTAAATATTTAACAATATGGGAAATAGTTTTAATCTATTTTCATATTGTGTTACATTTACAATAAATTACATATGGAACAAACTTTTCACATAATTCGCACACAAGATAATCGGAACTATTTTGGACAATGGTACCTTTTCATTTCGTATACGTATGTTTCGACATGAAAATGATATAACATGGAACTCTGTGTCCAGTATTGAAGCAGTTCACTTATTACTCTTCCCTTCTTTATTCCCAGGACTAAGATATGAGAGATCAAATTTCTGTTTCTGTCCACATTGAAAAAAAATAGATTTGGATGCAATATTTAGTTGTTTGCAAGTTTTCGTCTCTCAGGGTTACAGGTTCACATTGTCATTGTCATTCAAAATATCTTGAAGAAATATAGCTAATTTGGTTCTGATATTGAAGAATGCCTTCACAAGAGTTGACAAGCTCATGGCAATGACTCCAGCAAAGTCACTGATCTCTCATGTCTTGAATCATTGTGGCTGTGGGCATGTGTGCATGCATTGAGCTTGTTTAAGTTTGTGTCAGAGAAGTTCACTCCCAAATCATTGGCTCCCGGACACAGGGATCTTTGCCTTGTGACTACCACAAGTCTGTGTTCAGGCTTGGAAGTCACTTGCTGAAATAGACTCCTGGCCATTTACTCATGTGATCAAGTTGGACTGAAACCATTGTGGTCCTGATAAAGTAAGAAAATGTTGTTGACATTCTAATAAAAAATGATGAAATTAATTAATGAGTAAACAAGGCGTCACATGAGTATCGGAGTGTGTGACAACTGACACAAATTTGTACAAAGCAACAAGAAACATCCAAGCTGGGTCGCACAAAGCTTGATGCCACAGGCACCATATTGGAGACTGGTAGGTAGCGTTGCCATGACAACAATGACAGGCCGTTGCTCGGGGCTAACTCTCTCCCCTTTCCCCCATACTCATCCAGGCGTACTTGTCCACGTGTACTCAGGTACTATTTAAAGAACAACATGAGTACAGACTCTCTAGTCCCTGATGAGCTGCGCAGGTGAGCTGATAAAGGAGAGCCAGATCAGCCTGCTGCAGCTCAATTCTGCCGAGGTGGCGTCACAACTCACCCTCGAGGATTTCAAGGTGTTCCGTGAAATAGAGCCCACAGAGTACATCGACGAACTCTTTGGGCTGGATTCAAAGTATGGCTGCCCTTCTCTCAAGAAGTTTGCTGAGGTGAGTGTAGCTGAGAAGATGTGAGCCTTGCAGAGTTGCATGCACGTCATCAAAGGTTTTTAGGACCCAGTTTTCACTTCATTGACTGTTTACAGCAAATATTTCTTTTCACTGCACATTAAGAGCACACTCAAGCAATAATATTTTGAAAAATGTACACAACAAAAGAAGTTAGGATTACCTAATTCTGTCATATTACTACAGTAGATCAGTCATGGGATACATTTACTGTAGAAGTATGAAAGTGGTTGTTAACTTCATATGATTGTATTAGAGTAAAGGACTTGGGATGTATATTTGAAGTTCATACAGAGGTATAGAAAGCTGCTATATGGTTTCAGAGTACATTCAACTTCTCTGGAGTATTGATGTCATAGGGATAGCAGTATCTCATGTCTCATCATTGCCTGTGAAGGAACGTATTCCTACCGTATTCTGTTTCTTGTGTAAGTTTTATCAAGGTTGTACTGGTCTTGTTTCAGCTGGTGAACAGGGAAATGTTCTGGGTGGTGACCGAGATCTGCAGTGAGGGGAGTCTAGTCAAAAGATCAAAGCTCCTCAAGCATTTCATCAAGATAGCAAGTGAGTACTACCTGCAGACAGACAGGTGTAATCCAATATAACATACTAAGTACAGCACAGAATCTAGTACTTTTGTTAAGTGATAAGCAGATTTAAAAGATTTTCATGTCATCCTTTTATATGTGTACCTCTAAAAAAAAGCATTGCAGTGAATTCTTTCTTGAATTAGACATTCATACAGCAGATGTTTATATCTGGTGATTAATATTTCAGCCTTACAGCAATGTTAAAACAATTTGGATGATGAAACAAGGGTAATACTGAGGTTTTGGTGTTTCAGAGCATTGTAAAGATTGCAAGAACTTCAACTCTATGTTCGCAATATTAAGTGGTTTGGGTCACCAGTCTGTGACTCGGCTCCGTAACACGTGGGAGAGACTGCCCAGCAAGTACTACAAGATGTTCGAGGTTTGTACTTAACAACTCACGTTAGCAGTTTCTATGTGTGTGTGTGTGTCAGTTCACCTTCTCTGTAAACAGTGGTTAAAGTGTTTGCTTGTCACATCAAAGGCCCATGTTTGATTCTCCACATAGATACAATCTGTAAAGTCCATTTCTTGTGACCCCATTTGTATTAGTTCTGGATTATTGCTCTTATACTTTATGTTTCTTGTTATTTTTCCAGGATCTTCAAAATTTGATGGATCCTTCTCGGAACATGGCTAAATATCGAAATCTCATTAACAGCGAGCACATACAACCTCCCATGGTAAGTAGTGGTACTGACAGACATATAAGTAAAATTAAGTAAAGATGTATTTGATAGTCTTTTTAGCACTGAATGACAGACATGAAAACAAAATCTAAGTTGTTAGTAATAAAAAAGCTAAAATTAAAGAATAGACAAGTGATTAGTTTGTGGCAGTTGTTATTGTGTTAATGTTCAACAAACCCAAACAACATGAGGACATGCCTAGTGATAGATGGAATATCCTGATTGGATGTAGGGTGATAATGATGAGATAATGGTGCTTGTCTGTCCTGATTGGTGTCTCTGACTTTGAATTGTCTTGGGGGGTCAAACTGTTAATGTTGACTTATGTACTTGTTGACTTTATGGAGGCATAAACACAAACACCTTGCACACTGTGTAAATCTGTATTGTCAGTTGTTGTTAATTACTTTCACATATGTTGACATTATTGTTTTCAGCTGCCCTTCTTCCCAGTGGTGAAGAAGGACCTGACGTTTATCCACCTGGGCAATGACACTATGGTGGATGGACTGGTGAACTTTGAGAAGCTCCGCATGATTGCCAAAGAAATTAGACATATATGCAACATGTCGTCAGCAAGATATGTAAGTGTTGGGCATGTTTGATTAAACGCTCTTCTTCTTATACATAGAAAGCTGATAGTACATAGGTTCTGTCCCTACCTTGGTACAATGTGGAACATTGGTAAAGGTAGCGTCATGTCCCTCTCATAGGGTGGTTCACGTTACTGTTGATGTGTGATCATGCTACAGTTACTTTATTTCTTGATGCTTTTCCCAATGCCCCTTCCTCCCTGACCATCATGCTCTGTGATGACCACACCCCTTTCAATGATGATTATACCCCTTCCTCCCTGACCATCATGCTCTGTGATCACCACACCCCTTTCAGTGATGATTATACCCCTTGCTCCCTGACCATCATGCTCTGTGATGACCACACCCCTTTCAATGATGATTAAACCCCTTCCTCCCTGACCATCATGCTCTGTGATGACCACACCCCTTTCAATGATGATTATACCCCTTCCTCCCTGACCATCATGCTCTGTGATCACCATACCCCTTTCAATGATGATTATACCCCTTCCTCCCTGACCATCATGCTCTGTGATGACCACACCCCTTTCAATTATGATTATACCCCTTCCTCCCTGACCATCATGCTCTGTGATCACCACATCCCTTTCAATGATGATTATACCCCTTCCTCCCTGACCATCATGCTCTGTGATGACCACACCCCTTTCAATGATGATTAAACCCCTTCCTCCCTGACCATCATGCTCTGTGATGACCACACCCCTTTCAGTGATGATTATACCCATTCCTCCCTGACCATCATGCTCTGTGAAGACCACACCCCTTTCAATGATGATTATACTCCTTCCAGTGATGACCACACCCCTTTCAATGATGATTATACCCCTTCCAGTGATGACCAAACCCCTTTCAATGATGATTATACCCCTTCCAGTGATGACCACACCCCTTTCAATGATGATTACATCCCTTCCAGTGATGACGACACCCTTCCAGTGTACTGACCATGACCATTCTAATGTTTACCCTGCCCGACCATGCTGGCCAAGCCTCTCCCTGTGATGACCACACACCCCTACTGTGGTGACCACACCCCTTGATCACTTTGTCTCTCACTGCAGGATGTTAGCACCATGTACCTGGGCACTGGTTCCATGTTCTCCAGTACACTGGTGTCTGGAGTAGCCACACTCAAACGCACCAAGAACCGCCGGGGCTCCACGCTCCCCAACCTGAAGAAGATGTATGAAGAGGTATGTCAAGTGTTCACCATCTAAAGTTGCCTTGACTCTGAACCTTATGTTTCAGCTATTGCCATTCCAATGATTACAACCTTCTCCTTAGGTTCTAACTGGTTAATGTGTTAGTGCTCTAACATGACATGATATTGCTGACAATAGGTTTAAACCTTTAATACCTCTGGTTCAATCGGTTACATGGTAGGCAGGGGGTTCCCAATCTTCTTTGGTGATGCAATTCCTCTGCAGAGTTGTGTCCCTTGGGCAGTTTCACCAGCGGGTACGTGATTGAAAGAGTATGTGAATGTATAACAATGAGATATGTTGTTGCAGGCCCAGATGGTGAGACGAGTCAAGTCGTACCTGAGTAATATGCAGACTATCACAGATGAGGAGAAACTGAAGGACCTATCAAACCACTGTGAAATACCTGGTGAGAATATTATATGATGACCTTTTCAAGTAATGACAAATGTTTTGTAAATTTGGTAATGTTCATTTCCTAGCAGAAGGATACGTATTGTAGAGAGAGATATTAACTGTTGAGGAAATGGTTCCACAGAGGAATCTCAGATAGTCATAACTCCCTTAACTGAACATTGACTGACAACAATCATAGCACTAGGATTCTTCTGTGCTAGTGGGTAGATCATAAACGTCACACCCCTTCGTCCTCAGCAGCTCGAAAACGAGACCCTTCACCTGGGGTGAACACTGGTTCCCCGAACCACACAGCAGAGAACAAAGTTCCAGTACATACAGGGCCCAAGTTTGGTAAGTCTGCATCCCCTTGTCTCACTGGTGCATCCATATAATCACATTCATCGCATCAAAGTGTATACTGCCTTGTATTTAACACGTTGATATGAAATCTCCAACGTTTTTAGTTTCTTACTAGGCCATTTTAATCATTTATCCACAAGACCTCTTCTGGGATTGGGAATGGCATATTGTTATCATTTCACTTCATCGCATGAGTTTCATGATCTATGCTAAAGTTTGATTATAATCAATGTTCACGTTAATTTGAGTTTAGTATATTTCTGTGACCATCTCTATCTTTTTAGTTTCACTCACTTAAGTATTTTTTGAATGACCTTGACATTCTTTGACTTCCTCAGCTGCCTCCGTTTTGTCACAATCATAAGGGACAAGAAGTTTTTATTTTATATGAAGGTCCATGATTTCATTTCACTGCACTACATTATAAAACTTTCTCTTAGTTGTGGAGGTGCTTTTATGAATTTCATATCACGGAAAACAAAAGTTATTCTGCTTATTGCACTTAGCTGCCTAATCATTCCAATACCAGTTATTATGAAAAAGAATTAATGAATGTATATTCACAAAATTGTTTGCATTTTTCACAAAATGTTCAGATTCTTATTTTGTTCCAACTGGATTCTTAGTTATTTTACTACATCTTGGTGGCAGCTTAGGATTATGCATGTTTGGCTAGCAAGTCTGTGCGTACGTCCGTGCGTCGTATGTCAATGCGTACGTACGTCATAGTTAATGTGTTCTCCATCAGGTGCTGAATCTCCGGGGGCTGTACGAAAGATCATGGCACTAACCGACAAAGTTCGTCCTCATAACCCCAAAATTCCTCTCCCGCCTGTCACTAGTCCATTGTCTGGTCGTCGGCAAACGTCGCCGCGCCATGCTCGGGCTATGCAGCACGTCCACCTATCGTCTGAGAGCTCCTCTGTTGTCAGTCTCAGTAATATGCATATACGCAAGCCCAGTCGGACGGGTAAGGATGAGTCAGTCGTCTGCCTGCCCATTGCCTCGTCAGTCAGCGCTTTAACTATTCATGGCCAGTGTTGCTTTAGTTTCCGTATGTGAAGACTGCTGCTATATGTACTGTATACGTATTTACACAGGCGGTAGTTTTGCCGCTTGATATTTTTGCGTATATGTGCAGCCAAATTTGCTGATGTTGTGCGCTGATGTTTTGTCTATTGGTGCATTGTTAAAAAAAACCATGTATGTTTGATCAGACTATTTCATCAAATTTGATTACATTCTGAATTTTCACAAATTCAAATCACATCATTTCCCCTTTATAATCATACATATATTGATAAATATCATCCACGAATCACTATCCGTATATATTGCAATAGTTGCAAATATAATTCTGTATTAATTTCACCATGTACATGCAGATTTCGATCACCTAACCTGGCCATAATTAGTTGATTTGCTGTGATGGGTGTGGGCTTGGCATGCATGTGATACACAGCTTCTGTGTGGCTTTCTGTCGGCTTTGTATGTCTGCTTTTGTCTGTAGTTGTCATGTGTCATGTCCTTGTCATGGTCCTGTCATGTCATGAATGTTTGTGTTGACATGCCTTTACTGAATCCTAATCTTGACAATTTCCTTGCAGATTTTGTGTGATATCAGTTGGAATTAACAATACAATTACTGGAATCTTAGTAGCCAAATTTGTCTTTGTTGAGATTTGTTCTTTCAAAAATGTAATGAAAGGGGTAGATTTTCAAGTTCTTTTATGATTTGGAAGATGAACATAAAGGATTGTTTCTCATTGAAACGAGTCTGCAGATGTGTTTGTGTCTGAGCTATGTTTCTGGGCATATTGTTTTCCATATGACATAGAGAGTTTCTTCTCTGAACGGAGCTAATGAAGTTCAGTGAATGTTCTTGACACTTCTTTGTGTTTTATCTGCTGTGTCAACAAGGGTGATAGTTATGTCTTATCTTCCAAATGCTAACAATTCTTGATGCTGTTACTGACTGTAGACATCCAGATGACTGGCTTAGTCCGATGTGGACAGTGTCCTCAATCTACCCACAACAGAACTACATGTGGAAGGTCTATGGACAGACATTTAATGGATATTTCAGCATAATTGTGTCTACTTCACCTATTAAATATTACCATGATGTATGCAGATGAAATGTGTTGACAAGCACTACACCAAATGAATTCACATCTAACTAAGTATGCTTCTAGGCACTGTCCATGTTACTCTCTTTGGGTAAATATATGGTGGTTGCTCGTAATCAAGCCTGTTCAGTCTATCTTGTGAGCACTTTATTATGTCCTGTGTACCCTGAAGCAGCTGATGTAGCCAAGTAACCTCATCCTGACTTTCCTCCCAAGGTTCAATAGGTTCCACCGACTCTGCCAGTCCTACCAGTAGTGTCAACAGTTACCAGCACCAGAGTTCCTCGGAGACTGATTCCGGGCACTGTTTTGACAGCCATAGTAGCAGCTCTGTCGGATCCTACAACTCTCCACCTGTACTCAGGAAGGGGCAGCAAGGTGAGCCTTTGGGTGGGGATGTGGTTAAAGCACCAAGGTGAGACAGAGACTGTGTAGTTATGTAGTGGAGGTACCAAGGTGAGATGGCATCGATGGGTGGGGTATAGCTGAATAGTTAAAGCACCAAGGTGAGACGGAGACTGTGTAGCTATGTAGTTGAGGTACCAAGGTGAGATGGCATCGATGGGTGGGGGTATAGCTGAATAGTTAAAGCACCAAGGTGAGACGGAGACTGGCTGAATGAAGGTCTCCATGGGGTTTCTAGGTTGGAATAGCTCCACATTAACTTGTAATAGCTGTAAGAACAGAATAAGTAGTAATAGTGAGTGAGTGAATCGATCTTGGTTGTCAGGCAGAGTGATTTGAATCGTTGCATGTCGTAGTACATCGACAGCAAGGGTCATTGGTCATATGTCCATCACTCCATAGTTTACTGGGGCGGTGGGGTAGCCTAGTGGTTAAAGCGTTGGCTCGTCACGCCGAAGACCCGGGTTCGAATCCCCACATGGGTACAATGTGTGAAGCCCATTTCTGGTGTCCCCCTCCGTGATATTGCTGGAATATTGCTAAAAGCTGCGTAAAACCAAACTCAGTCAGTCAGACATAGTTTACTATGTGTGGGACACCATTTGTAGCTGGAATATGGCTGTGTTTGGTAGATAGATGTCAGTGGTTGTTCAATTCTGTATGAACAAGTATTAATAAAGTAATGCCCAATGAAACCAATGTCCTCCACTCTTGAATTGTGTCATGTCGTATTCTCAAGAGTAAAACTCAGGCTTACATTCACAACTTGCTGATCTGTCAGAAGTGTGTCCCTCCCACAAACCCAGATGCAGTGTGCAACAGGACGTTACTAACACATTTTCTTAATTATACACCATATTCTCAGAAAGTGTCCTTTGGGCAGCATGCATATGAATCTTCTATCTGTACTTTTCCAACTTTAACTAACTCCATGCTCGCCTGTCTGATTCCAGCGCCGATGAACTCTCTCAACCCCCACCATGTTTCCTACCCCCAGGCCCAGATGCCCGGCCCCCCTCTCCCCTCCTACCACTCCGTCATGCAGAATGCTCCACAGTCAGCCCCTGCAGGTGAGTCCCAGGCCACATACAGACACGCCCACCAACCAAGCAGCCTGCATGTGCTGGAGGGATATTAACATTTCACACTCTATATAACAACATGCATGGTATGGTCAGCCCTAATGTAAACATGTGTTTGGTCAGATGGATAGCAAATAATATGCTGTACATTTGTAGTACTTCAGTGTGTTTTATTTGTAATTTACAAATTAAAATGTGTGCTTAAAAGAAATTAAAGAACACAATTTTTCCTTTGTAATCAATGTGTCATTGTCGTTGTGACTATATCATATGAAAATGTTGTGTGTTCTTTAGCTCTTTTTAAGTTGTATGTTTTAAATTCATAACTTTTTCATGAGGTTGAAACAAAAAAATATATTTTCCAGAATGATGTAAATATTCAAGATTCCTAAGAATTACCTATGATCAATGTCATGCACTCCATAGATGATGTGTGTCTTTCAGTTATGTAATAGTCACTAAGGTTTTCCTATTTCTGAACACGTGGAAATTCCTGTAGAGATGTTGTTTTGCCAGGCCCATTGTTTCCTGGTGTACTAGATGTAGTGTGCCATGCCAAGTGTGTAGTGTTGCCCCCCGTGAGTGTACTGTAACACCCTGCATGACTGGTATAGACACGTGCGTACGCCACCCCATGCATGCAGGTGTCGTGGACACCCAGATGGCACCTGACACAGTACAGAGAGCTTACTTGTATATCACCATAGAACCAGGCTGGCTGCTGGCTTCGTACTTATATATACACCTTCTGTAGTATATCCTACTACCAGTGTTCGGTTTGGGCTACTAGCAACATCGGAAATTGGCTTACCCAGCATCCATTTGCATCTTTCATACTTCATTTTGAATCTTGCGTTTTAAAAAATTATGTAGGAATTTAAAATGTGATTAACAGTAATGAAGTTTATGGCAACTGTAAGTTGGTGACCATTGATGTTGTTTTATATGAATGAGAAAGTTCAATGAGTATGTAAAGATAGGAATAATGATATTAATGATATGAGGCTCTCTACACTGTGGGTGTTCGTCTATCACAGCTTATGTATGTCTTGTATATGAAACAAGCATGAGATATGTAATAACATCGTGCCTTTTCTCTCCTCTTGTCCTGTCAGCGTCTTGCCATTACAATCCCCCAGCGTATCCCAGCCGGCGGCTGCCGCTCCCAGACTACCAGGCGGCTACTCAAATGGCACTTGCACGGCAGAAACAATTATGGCAGGCAGAACGCTCCCGCTCTCATGAGGGGGTAGGGTTCTACGAGGAGGGGGATTATGATAACACAGTAGCGGGTATGTGTCCAAGTTGAACACAGGTTTTGTGTCCCATGGCTGTGAGAGTGTGGATCATGTTCTGGAGGAGGGCGTTGTTCTGGCATCAAAGGATAGGTACTAGCAATAAAAGGATGTGTTTAGGTCGTTCCTCTCCTGAATGCGGTCATCAAGCTTACATCAGAGAATGGTTTCAAGCAAACAGTGAGGACATGTAACCATGTGCCACTATGACCATAAGAAGGGCATTATGCTTGCATCAGAGAGAATGAACTAGCAATAACGGAGGATATGTTACTGCAAGTGTGTTAAGTGATCATGTTCTGAAAGGCTTCATGTTGGCATCAGAGGAAATAGATTACAGCAACAATTGTGGTCTTGTTGTTGGAACCTGGTCTTGTGCTTAGGGAGGGCTTTATTTCGACATCAGAAAGTAGGTTCTAGCAATAATAGAACCTGGTCTTGTGCTTAGGGAGGGCTTTATTTCGACATCAGAAAGTAGGTTCTAGCAATAAAAGAACCTGGTCTTGTGCTTAGGGAGGGCTTTATTTTGACATCAGAAAGTAGGTTCTAGCAATGATAGAAATGTGAGATTGCAAGTGTTTCATGTGATTGTAGAAGAAAGGCTTTATTATGGCATTAGACAAAATGTTCCAGCACTAAAGGATCTGTGTTGTGTTCTGGGGATTCAGGAACATGTTTTTCTCACGGAATTTGATAGGACAGATGACAGGTTCTTGTTTAGAAGAAGGTCCAGTGCAGCTAGGTTTGCTTTATTGTCAGGTTCGCCTCAGAGCTGTGTTCATTTAGGATCAGTTTAGTCTTGTTTGGTTCCATGAAGGATGCAATGAGTGTTTTGTTTGTTCTATATGTGTATAAGAGTAAATAAGTGACAAATATTACTGTTTTGTTGTGTAAAGAGGTTTGAGACACAATAAGAAGTATGGACAGGACTTGTGATAGGGATGTTTAATGCCAGGAATTGATGTTTAGATTAAAGGTTACACATAAAGGGGCACGGTCAAGGGGAGATAATGCAGAATATCTCTACAGCTGTTTGTGTTGCAGTGGGGACTACCGTTGTTTGGAGCTGCTTGTTATCTGTGTATTGAATGTTTGGTTGAGGGTCACTCCACAGATGTTTATGTATGTGCTTCGATGTTTGTCCTAAAGTGTGTCATTATTTCAGTAAACATGTTCAAGTGTTATTGGGGTCAGTTTGTCAAATCTGTTTGTACCCGAATGATATGAATGAAAAGTTCTGATTTTGATAAATCAAAGAACAGTTTGCTCCATCCTAGATCCTGTGTGATATTTGGGTATCTGTGATTAAGTCAGTGACTACTGATACTGACTGATGGATTTTAGGATTTTATGAGTGCTTCAGGCTAGCGCCGAATTTGTACTCGCAGTATTGTCGAACAATTTACCGCTGAGTGGACATGTTTGTGGATGCATGATGGTCATCATGAATGTTGAGGCTTATTGATGGATGTGTTGTGGAAGCCAGACTAGATGAGCATCACTGTTACAGATGAGTGTCATGGCATGCTGGTTATGTCAGTTGTGTTATAGTGCTGTGATAAGCATTTCATACCGACAACTTCATTTTACTCAGTTAATTTTTATTATTCCATGTTGAATGCGATATGTCAATGTTGTTGAATGTCCTTTTTGAATGAAATGATCATTTCAGTGTTCATTTTAGTAATTTCTATAAGAAGGATACAGGACCTAGATTTTCGAAGCTCTGTTAGCTAAGTTAATGTTAATGTATGGCACTTACGACTATCTTAGCGCTAACAGAGCTTAAAATATCTAGGCCCAGGAGAATAGGGCTGGGATGCTACGCATGAGTAGTTGATGTTTTATGTGTGTGTTGTGTTTCTGTTTTCAGACGGAGATGAACAAGTGTCCGCTGTATGAAGACCAGGCCAGTGTATATCACAACCCAAATGGTGCAATTCTTTTAAATCTGTGATATAACTGGCATGGCTGAGTGGCTCCATCTGTTAAGTGTCACTTGATCTGAATAGCCACAGCCATGGAGCCTGAATGTCGAACCCAGGCGGGTGGGTGGGGACATTTGGTTTACCCATCTTAGTGGGTAGGGACAGTCTTCAGTTTACCTATCCCGATGGGCAGGGACACTAGAATTTACCCATTCGCATGGGCAGATGACAGACTATAGTTAACCCATCTATTTGGGCAGGAAACTATGGTTTACCCATCCTGGAAGGTGGGGAGAGACACCAGTTTACCTGCCTGAAAGGGGAGAGACAACAATTTACCTCCCTGGAAGGTGGGGAGAGACAACAGTTTACCTGCCAGAAAGGTAGGGAGAGACAACAATTTACCTCCCTGGAAAGTGGGGAGAGACAACAATTTACTTGCCTGGATAGGAGGGGACATACCATGGTGCTATGTACAGTTCTCTCAGCCTGCAACTCATCACAAGCAGCTGACCTTGTAGGAATGTTTCTATACGGAATTTGTGTCGGCGTGGGGAAACTCTGTGTGTGTGTAAATATGAGAACAGAGAAACCTGTTCCAGAAATATCTATACTCATCATAGACTCTTAGCCCAAGGATTGTGACGTGTCTGTGGACAGTGTTTTGTGCTATGTGGGGCTTATAACCTTAAAGGATCTCGGGACTAATACTGTTTTCAATGGACTCCGCCTATCTAATGTGCTAACAGTTTTCTCATTGGAGCCTCCTGCTGTTCACTAACAGGTTTAAAACAGCAAATGGCCATGTTTGCTAAATTTGCAACAGTTAATTAAAATAATCATACTTCAAGCCACTGACTCCCCGCCTGGCTGTATGACAAGCAAAATGGCCGCTTGAGACAGTATTTGAAAGGGTTATCTCCCCTTGAACACTTTGAAAATCAAAATCTTTGATGAACATTGGTATGAATCTCACAGCTTTGGACATGGTCCAGACTGACCAGTATCAGTGACAATATACGTGGGAGATGACCAAGGAAACTGTTGACCTAGGGCAGTGCATTATGTACAGATTTACTGTCTGCTCGCTAAGTGTAGTCATTTCACATACCAGACGGGATATTGCATTTGTTTGTTACAGTGTAGCAAACTACATTACACTTGCAAATCTATGCAAGATATCAAGGAGGGCTGGGCCACACCTATAGGCAAAGTTGTTCAGAGTTTTAGAATTGTTTTTATATAATTGATTTATAGAGATTAAGCCTGCAGTGGAAACTGTTCAGATTGCTTTGTGTCAGATGAAACACAGAGTATTCATCATATCCTTCTGGACCGAAGCAAAAAATATTGCTAACAGACATAAAATATTATGAGAAAACGTATGCTAAAGCATGCCAACTTTATAACGTAATTGTGCAGATACTTTTTGATACGAAATCCAACTGTGCCACTGAATATTTGTGTTCAATCCAGCTGCCTTACATTCAGGTAAACAGTATGATGGCTGTTGATCTTGACTGTCCCCGCATCCCAACGTTGAAAATGATTTAAGATGATGTGATTTGAAACTATGATCAACACGATTTAAAGATAGTGTCCATAAAGTCCTGGATGGTGATCTGAACAGTTGCCTATGCTAGGAAAACACAAGGTACATCACTTTCTGATGTTATGGGATCAAATAAGTTTGATTATCATGACAATGAGATATCATTTTATATTCTCATCGTTTAATCAGAATGAAATATATCTGATTTGTTTCCATCAGTAGTCAAACACAATTCCCACCAAAAAAAGTACAGTTTTCAAGTCATGAAATAGTTTTGACTGACTGTTTCTTAGGCTTGAGGAGCTATCCCAACATGGTTATGCATATGATGTATAAAAATAGCAATATTTGATTGACAAGGAAATCATGATTCACCCAGAAAGATATTCCACTATGAAAATCTCTAACAGTATGTGCCATTGAACATAGAAGATAGGTTTTGTTAATCTTGCGTTTGTTTTGTCTTCCTTTCTTTGTGTCAACGTCACCTGTTCTTGGAATGAAAACTGATGCTTAGCTTCTGTAGCTCACCTTCAGATATGTAGGCAGTACTGAGAGACCATTGTCATTTGGTTCTTACTACAATTCTTGTAGCTTGATTAGAACTGCATTTCTTCTGCATTTAGTGGGTTGTATTTGACAAATGTGGGCATATAACACCGATGTTGTTCAATCATCAACATACTGCGTGATCTTTTGTAACTATACAGCAGGATTGATTATCTAGTCTATCAAGGGTACAGTTTGGGTAGAATTTTCATTTACTTAGTATGGTAGGTGATTTGGGGGGTTAAACTAAGCATGTGGTTGTACTTTTTGTAAAGAGTAATTAACAAGTAATTAAAAGTAAGAAATTATGATAAAATGTTCTGAACCGTTTCTGTGCTTCACAAATGATTTGAGCTACAATTAATTTGCAAGGTAGAACTAAGTCTATATATTCAGTTTTCATGAAAATATGTTCATTTCTTATTGTATCTCATCACAGTTGTTTAATAATCTGGAGGTGTGGTACTCTGGACAAAAAGTGCCTCGATTTGTAGTAAGGACAGGAATTACAGATTGAACGTCTTCAAGGCTTACATTAGGTTGATACAAAAAGTGTTTCAGAATGTGTTCCTTTTGATTCTTTTGAATTCATGCAGGTAGGTCTGACAGGTCACATGAGCTAAACTTTTCTGTACTTGTAATTACCCAACCATTGACATGTTGCTGAAGATGGTAAGCATTTTGACATTATACCATAATATTCCATCAAGTTTGATCTCAAGATTTCAGTAAAAGAAATTCAAGTTTGTGAAATACTACTGTGTAAGTGACCTGTGTATCTTTGAAGGAGGGAAGTTTTTCAGTTGGTAGATGCAATACATAAGGCAGTTAGCTATGCTGTTTTTAGCATGGAGGGTTGTTGGAGAAGAAGAAGCTTGTTTCATTGTGCCAAAAGTTCACAATAGTGAATGCTGTTTGAAAATGTTAAGTTTGGTTGTTTTAAAGTTTATGATCTCCCTGGAAAGGTTGCTGATGCAGTGGGATGCTTTAGTGTAGGACACTCATTTTTTCATGATGATAATCAAATCCATGAATTATTAAATACAATTCACTTCGTCTTAAGGTGAATGATATATTGGTGTCTTTATACAAATGCTTATTTCATATTTTCTTGTCATTATTGAATAATGATTAAATTTAAAATGTTTGTACAAAATTTAGTCTCTTAAATTGAATTGACACACTTCTTTACATGTCACTGTTAGGTTTTTCTTCATTTAGATGATACTCCAGCATTAGCATCACAGGTTGAATAACTGATGAAATATGGAAGTACCGGTACATGAAATGCATCCCACTGTATTCTAGTATCAAAGGGAGACAACTACCATAGGTATGGCCTAGCTCCAGTTGTATGTGTTCAAGCAATTTTCCTTCACCCAGTCTGACCTAGCAATTGTGTAGTATAATTTCATGTACATTCTCATTCGTTCAAGGCATATTACACATTGTCTTTTTTATCAGTGTCTTGTACAGAATTTACGTATGCTTTAACTGTGAATAAAACACTCAAGGTAGAGAAATATACTCTTTGTCTGTGTGCTTTGTTTAAATGAGTGAGTGAGGATATTTTTATGCCACTTTTGGCAAAATATTGTAATTTCCAACTTAGGGGACATGAGTCCTTGGCTTCACTCATTGTGCCCAAGTGGAGAATGAAACGTGGGTCATGACAAGCAAGAATGGATTGACCACTTGTCTACCCGCTGCCACACAACGCCACTGCAGAGAGTTAGACTCACTAGTTCTTAAAATCACCCTATAATGGGTTTGTCACTGCTGTAAACGGGGTGGTGTGGTAGCCTAGTGGTTAAAGCGTTGGCTCGTCACGCCGAAGACCCGGGTTCGAATCCCCACATGGGTACAATGTGTGAAGCCCATTTCTGGTGTCCCCTGCCGTGATGTTGCTGGAATATTGCTAAAAGCGGCGTAAAACCAAACTCAGTCAGTCACTGCTGTAAACCTTTATTGTTACTTTGAAAGTTCAATTGGATTTTCAATCTTTAAAAATACTGACAAGATAAATGACAGGTGTTGTAGCTGTCTCACTACAAACCACTCTCTCTCCCTCTCACTAAGTATTTTGCCAGAACCCTCACCCTCCCACCCCCAAAACCCCTCCTGCAGATTGTCCTGTCCAACACAACAGTTTCTCTCTCCCAGAAGCTTGCCCCAAAACGACCCTCACCCCACCCCTCCTGCAGATTGTCCTGTCCAACACGTTTCCCTCCCAGAATCTTGCACCCCACCCCTCCTCCAGATTGTCCTGCCCCAACACAACAGTTTGTCTCTCCCAGAAGCTTTTTCCACATTAACACACTCTTTCCTAAAAGTTTCTCACCAGAAGACCTTCCAACTTCTACAAATTCATCATTGATAAAATCCTTCCATTGTAATTCTGCATGATTTCATGGTTTTATATGGAACGGTGTCAGACTATGCATATTTTTAAGGACGACACATTAAACATATGACCTTATATCATATTATGAACCAACTTGACATGGTAACAGGAACTGAGTTATCCCGTAACACTGCATTTGAGTGACATGCTCATTTGATTTGACATTCAACTTCGAGTTGCCACTGTAATATGACACCTTTGATATGTCGGCTCTAAGTTAGAATCAGGAAGAGACACCACGTAAAATTATAATCCTAAATGTGTGTTTGTGTTGGGGAAGGGGGAGGAGGAAGGTGAATTCGAAAAAAAATGGCGATTACAGAAATAGAAAGAGGTATCCACTGATGGTAACGGATGGACATTAAGATAATGAAAAGACAGGGTGTATGTAGACAATAAACATGTTGGTCGTGTAGCGTAAGGGCGCAGACGACCAAGAAAGACGACTTTTGAGATGACTTCGTCAATCATGTGTCATGTCCCTCGAGACATTCGTATATAGGTGTTGCATGTTTCCAATTAATTTAAGGGATAAAACGTATGCCTGCATGTTCGGCAGAATATCTGCACTAGTAAGTTGTCCTGGTATTGCTGTTAATCTTCCATTGACCTTCTGGGTGTTGAAGTCGAAACCCCATGTCATTACAGACCCATTCCCAAATCTGGCAAGTCATTGGCCTCTACGTTCGTGGGGACACCTCCAGACAGGTATACGCTTGTCAAGAATGTCCTCCGTAAATCTGGACCCCTCTAAAACATTCCATGAGACATCGGCGACTCCCCAAGATCTTATGCTCTAAACACCTTGTCCTCTGACTAGAATGTGTCGCTAATGGTCTGGTTAGAAACTTGAACTCCGTTGTCCTTGCGCAGTTGAACAGCGATTTGATTTTTTACTTCTTTTACTCAATTTATTGAGGTCTCTGTTGATTCAGTGCTTTGAATTGTGCCGATCATTTATATTTTGTGTCTTGACATAGCTGTCCAAATTACAGACAGTTTCACTTTAAACATTTAGGATACCTCGAGCCGACCGCTGCCGTGCAAACAGATCCGATGCCTATGTCACTTTGTAGGTCACAAGCCGCCGTGATGTTGCTGGAATATTGCTAAAAGCGGCGTAAAACCAAACTCAGTCAGTCAGTTGTAGGTCACGCTTTCCCAACCCGGTCATATCTACTGCATTAAAACAAGAGTAAAGAGCCAACGTTACTATGATGAAAATCAACAATGGCTATGGCTCAGAGCGATTTGACGACCTTTCACCGTAATGTCAAAATTATGAATGACACTGTACCCGTGAACAGAAATTAGATGGTCCACACCAATGTCACAATCATGAATGACACTGTACCCACGTGAACAGAAATTAGATGGTCCACACCAATGTCACAATCATGAATGACACTGTACCCACGTGAACAGAAATTAGATGGTCCACACCAATGTCACAATCATGAATGACACTGTACCCACCAATGAACAGAATGACACTGTACCCACGTGAGATGGTCCACGTGAACAGAAATTAGATCCACACCAATGTCACAATCATGAATGACACTGTACCCACGTGAACAGAAATTAGATGGTCCACACCAATGTCACAATCATGAATGACACTGTACCCAACAGTGATGGTCCACACCAATGTCACAATCATGAATGACACTGTACCCACGTGAACAGAAATTAGATGGTCCACACCAATGTCACAATCATGAATGACACTGTACCCACGTGAAGATGGTCCACACCAATGTCACAATCATGAATGACACTGTACCCACGTGAGAGATGGTCCACACCAATGTCACAATCATGAATGACACTGTACCCACGTGAAGATGGTCCACACCAATGTCACAATCATGAATGACACTGTACCCACGTGAAGATGGTCCACACCAATGTCACAATCATGAATGACACTGTACCCACGTGAAGATGGTCCACACCAATGTCACAATCATGAATGACACTGTACCCACGTGAAGATGGTCCACACCAATGTCACAATCATGAATGACACTGTACCCACGTGAAGATGGTCCACACCAAATGTCACAATCATGAATGACACTGTACCCACGTGAAGATGGTCCACACCAATGTCACAATCATGAATGACACTGTACCCACGTGAACAGAAATTAGATGTCCACACCAATGTCACAATCATGAATGACACTGTACCCACGTGAACAGATGGTCCACACCAATGTCACAATCATGAATGACCCGCGTGACACTGTACCCACATGAAGAAATTAGGTGGTCCACACCAATGTCACAATCATGAATGACACTGTACCCACGTGAACAGAAATTAGATGGTCCACACCAATGTCACAATCATGAATGACACTGTACCCGTGAACAGAAATTAGATGGTCCACACCAATGTCACAATCATGAATGACACTGTACCCACGTGAACAGAAATTAGATGGTCCACACCAATGTCACAATCATGAATGACACTGTACCCACGTGAACAGAAATTAAATGGTCCACACCAATGTCACAATCATGAATGACACTGTACCTCGTGAACAGAAATTAGATGGTCCACACCAATGTCACAATCATGAGACACTGACACTGAACCAGAAACCACACCAATGTCACAATCATGAATGACACTGTACCCACGTGAACAGAAATTAGATGGTCCACACCAATGTCACAATCATGAATGACACTGTACCCACGTGAACAGAAATTAAATGGTCCACACCAATGTCACAATCATGAATGACACTGTACCCACGTGAACAGAAATTAAATGGTCCACACCAATGTCACAATCATGAATGACACTGTACCCACGTGAACAGAAATGAAATGGTCCACACCAATGTCACAATCATGAATGACACTGTACCCACGTGAACAGAAATTAAATGGTCCACACCAATGTCACAATCATGAATGACACTGTACCCACGTGAACAGAAATTAGATGGGTCCACACCAATGTCACAATCATGAGTGACACTGTACCCACGTGAACAGAAATTAGATGGTCCACACCAATGTCACAATCATGAGTGACACTGTACCCACGTGAACAGAAATTAGATGGTCCACACCAATGTCACAATCATGAATGACACTGTACCCACGTGAACAGAAATTAGATGGTCCACACCAATGTCACAATCATGAATGACACTGTACCCACGTGAACAGAAATTAGATGGTCCACACCAATGTCACAATCATGAATGACACTGTACCCACGTGAACAGAAATTAGATGGTCCACCAATGTCACAATCATGAATGACACTGTACCCACGTGAACAGAAATTAAATGGTCCACACCAATGTCACAATCATGAATGACACTGTACCCACGTGAACAGACATTAAATGGTCCACACCAATGTCACAATCATGAATGACACTGTACCCACGTGAACAGAAATTAAATGGTCCACACCAATGTCACAATCATGAATGACACTTTACCCACGTGAACAGCCATTAAATGGTCCACACCAATGTCACAATCATGAATGACACTGTACCCACGTGAACAGAAATTAGATGGTCCACACCGCGTTTCACAGTTTCTCTCGTGACGACCATATACAAATGCAATGATCTCTACATACAAGGGCAAAGAAGATATCCTGATTGCAATCAGCCCGTAAAGCTTTTATTTATATCACATTTTATCACACAAGTGTAATAGAGACCAAAGTGATGCCTACAACATGTTCATCATTTATGGGGACTCAAGAGCTGGATGCTATCACTCCGTATACATCCACAGTACATTGGTCATGGGTATTGTACAGGCAATAGCGAAAGGAACTTATAACAAGAAGCTCTATTAGTTCTGAGAGTCCCGTAAAACCACAATGTCACACATTTTCGACAATATTCTATGCTATAGTATATATATTGGGGGCATATGCACTCACTTTAGCTTCCTATCGATGCAATAAAAGACTTATTATCCCTTATGACTTGTCTGAAATCGATAATCGAAACTTCGAGGCGAACAGCTTCCAAACAGATAACACTTGCGCAAACGATTGCTCCGCACGTCGATACCTATCGCACGCGGTATTGTCGGTGTTTACCAAACTGGTTTCACTCACAAGTTGTGCATAGGATATTCGTAAACTGCGCTCCAAGGGACATAACTGTATGGGGTTAGCTTGAAATAATGTTCAACCGGTAGAGGGTACGAGAGTCGATTTGATGAAGCGTTGCATTAATTCATTCGAATTTTCAAATTTAATATTGTAATCTAAATACGTAATTCTTTTGGAATAAATTATATGGTAGCTCCCCTTAGGGCTGATAGCACTATTATTGAGAGAAATGCATTATTAATTTTTTAGTGAAGTGTGGTGTGACATTGTGCCTTTAAAGATATATATATATATGGCGTATCATAATTCATAGCAGCTATAGCAAGATCTGTGAATCACGAAAGAGTTGTCCATATAAATTCATTTTTGCACATTTACATACAGAACATGTACAATATTATGCAAATTGTTTTTCTTAATAAGTAGATCAACATAAAACAGTATTTGATGTACATTATGCTCAAATTATCTCATTCTTTAAAAAATTGGGGCACATATCACACTTCAAGGTGGAATGAAAACTGGAATATAATATTTTTTTTCTCAAACACACCCATGCACACTGTCGGTCTGTTACTATACCTCCTTGCTAAGTCTGTCACTATACCCCCTTGCTAAGTCTGTTACTGTACCCCCTTGCTAAGTCTGTTACTATACCCCCTTGCTAAGTCTGTTACTGTACCCCCATGCTAAGTTTGTTACCATACCCCCTTGCTAAGTCTGTTACTATACCCCCTTGCTAAGTCTGTTACTATACCCCTTGCTAAGTCTGTTACTATACCCGCTTGCTAAGTCTGTTACTATACCCCGTTGCTAAGTCTGTTACTATACCCCTTGATAAGTCTATTACTGTACCCCCTTGCTATATCCCCTTGGTGAGTGTGTCACTGTATCCATTCACTGCTGAGTTTCCGTGTTGTCAGGGCCGATGCACGGGTGTGAGGATTGACGGACACGGGTCAACCATTAAACTACACCCCCCAACCTGGCTTCAGACAAGTGACATGTTTTCTGTACACAAGACCATCTACCAAAACAGGTTTACCAAATCTACAACTGATTCTAGCTATTTGACATTTACAATTTGGCAATAACACAATATAAAATATGTTTTCTATTACAAGAAAAAAATCATTTCAAAGCACAAAATATCTTTCTGGCGTCCCATGGTTGCAATGGTTTCTGGAATACTGACATATAAAAGCTGCGTATCTCTCAACACAACCACTCGATCGATATTACCTGTTTACTATGAGATCGTATATAACTGGTTGGGATACTGACGTGGGTTCACACCATCGTCGTTCCCTTCAGTACACTGTGTTTGCCGCTTTCATTACCGCTACCTGTGGTAGTTCTTGTCAACAAGTGGGAAAATATATCAACACTTCGCAAAATATCTGTTTGATAAGTTCCTGCATCAAATGTAGTCAATTACATGGCCTCCTTTCACAAATCACTGAGGTGATCGTAAGTTACTAAGGTAACCTTAGTGCAATGTTAAAGAATGGGAGTTAAGGTTAACCTTAGTAAAGGTTGCTTCGAGAAAGGAGCCCCAGACTGACAGTTTCCTCATATTTCAAGTCATAACTCGATATCATTATATTTCATTACCTAAGTAGTCCAAATTGGTCTTAATTTTAAGTTTAGTTATGGATGAAACTTTATATACTTTGTGCAAACATATTTACATAAAAACTCTGTATAGAATTTCCCATCATTTCGCTTGCATTCGTTTCATGTGCATAAGTTTTGTTGAACGTTTGATGTAGTCTTTCACTGATTATGAATTGAGAAACAATAAGTATTTACATCTGTCTGTGAAATATACATCGCCAGTATACGTATTTACATTCCATGTCTCACATGGAGATGTGACATAAGTTAGACGGACTCAAGGGAGGAGCAATGATTAGATCATCTGGGTGGGCGTGTTTGAGGGACAGGGCGTGCCATGTTGGTGCGGGTGTGGGTGCGAGGCGGTATGGGGGGTGCCTCCATGTTGTCCGTCTGGGCCAGAAACTCCATCCGGTGCGACTCACGCTGGAAAAAATGGAAATCATAATAATAATAATAATCCTCCTCCTCCTCCTCCTCCTCCAAAAGTACAATAACGTTTGTAGTTTGCAATTGAAGACTGCTAAAACAGTACTTTGTGTGTTCATATTAATATTTCTGTTACAATTATAATTTTAAAGACAAAAATGAGTACACAGGGTTAGGATAATCTAGAAACAATAGCTGTGATTGGGCTTTTTCCATGTATTTTTAACCGTGTTCTATACACAGACTCGTACTGACATACCGTTTGTTCAAGTGATGAATAACATAGGTTACTATCTATACGTTCAACTGATGAATAACATAGGTTACTATCTATACGTTCAAGTGATGAATAACAGGTTACTATCTATACGTTCAAGTGATGAATAACATAGGTTACTATCTATACGTTCAAGTGATGAATAACATAGGTTACTATCTATACGTTCAAGTGATGAATAACATAGGTTACTTTCTATACGTTCAAGTGATGAATAACATAGGTTACTATCTATACGTTCAAGTGATGAATAACATAGGTTACTATCTATACGTTCAACTGATCACTAACATAGGTTACTATCTATACGTTCAAGTGATGAATAACATAGGTTACTATCTATACGTTCAAGTGATGAATAACATAGGTTACTATCTATACGTTCAAGTGATGAATAACATAGGTTACTATCTATACGTTCAACTGATCACTAACATAGGTTACTATCTATACGTTCAAGTGATGAATAACATAGGTTACTATCTATACGTTCAAGTGATGAATAACATAGGTTACTATCTATACGTTCAAGTGATGAATAACATAGGTTACTATCTATACGTTCAAGTGATGAATAACATAGGTTACTATCTATACGTTCAAGTGATGAATAACATAGGTTACTATCTATACGTTCAACTGATCACTAACATAGGTTACTATCTATACGTTCAACTGATCACTAACATAGGTTACTATCTATACGTTCAAGTGATGAATAACATAGGTTACTATCTATACGTTCAAGTGATGAATAACATAGGTTACTAACTATACGTTCAAGTGATGAATAACATAGGTTACTATCTATACGTTCAAGTGATGAATAACATAGGTTACTATCTATACGTTCAACTGATCACTAACATAGGTTACTATCTATACGTTCAACTGATGAATAACATAGGTTACTATCTATACGTTCAACTGATGAATAACATAGGTTACTATCTATACGTTCAAGTGATGAATAACATAGGTTACTATCTATACGTTCAAGTGATGAATAACATAGGTTACTATCTATACGTTCAAGTGATGAATAACATAGGTTACTATCTATACGTTCAAGTGATGAATAACATAGGTTACTATCTATACGTTCAAGTGATGAATAACATAGGTTACTATCTATACGTTCAACTGATGAATAACATAGGTTACTATCTATACGTTCAAGTGATGAATAACATAGGTTACTATCTATACGTTCAAGTGATGAATAACATAGGTTACTATCTATACGTTCAAGTGATGAATAACATAGGTTACTATCTATACGTTCAAGTGATGAATAACATAGGTTACTATCTATACGTTCAACTGATCACTAACATAGGTTACTATCTATACGTTCAACTGATGAATAACATAGGTTACTATCTATACGTTCAACTGATGAATAACATAGGTTACTATCTATACGTTCAAGTGATGAATAACATAGGTTACTATCTATACGTTCAAGTGATGAATAACATAGGTTACTATCTATACGTTCAACTGATCACTAACATAGGTTACTATCTATACGTTCAACTGATGAATAACATAGGTTACTATCTATACGTTCAAGTGATGAATAACATAGGTTACTATCTATACGTTCAACTGATGAATAACATAGGTTACTATCTATACGTTCAAGTGATGAATAACATAGGTTACTATCTATACGTTCAACTGATGAATAACATAGGTTACTATCTATACGTTCAACTGATGAATAACATAGGTTACTATCTATACGTTCAAGTGATGAATAACATAGGTTACTATCTATACGTTCAAGTGATGAATAACATAGGTTACTATCTATACGTTCAAGTGATGAATAACATAGGTTACTATCTATACGTTCAACTGATCACTAACATAGGTTACTATCTATACGTTCAACTGATGAATAACATAGGTTACTATCTATACGTTCAAGTGATGAATAACATAGGTTACTATCTATACGTTCAAGTGATGAATAACATAGGTTACTATCTATACGTTCAAGTGATGAATAACATAGGTTACTATCTATACGTTCAAGTGATGAATAACATAGGTTACTATCTATACGTTCAAGTGATGAATAACATAGGTTACTATCTATACGTTCAAGTGATGAATAACATAGGTTACTATCTATACGTTCAACTGATGAATAACATAGGTTACTATCTATACGTTCAACTGATGAATAACATAGGTTACTATCTATACGTTCAAGTGATGAATAACATAGGTTACTATCTATACGTTCAAGTGATGAATAACATAGGTTACTATCTATACGTTCAAGTGATGAATAACATAGGTTACTATCTATACGTTCAAGCTGATGAATAACATAGGTTACTATCTATACGTTCAAGTGATGAATAACATAGGTTACTATCTATACGTTCAAGTGATGAATAACATAGGTTACTATCTATACGTTCAACTGATGAATAACATAGGTTACTATCTATACGTTCAAGTGATGAATAACATAGGTTACTATCTATACGTTCAAGTGATGAATAACATAGGTTACTATCTATACGTTCAACTGATGAATAACATAGGTTACTATCTATACGTTCAAGTGATGAATAACATAGGTTACTATCTATACGTTCAAGTGATGAATAACATAGGTTACTATCTATACGTTCAAGTGATGAATAACATAGGTTACTATCTATACGTTCAACTGATCATTAACATAGGTTACTATCTATACGTTCAACTGATCACTAACATAGGTTACTATCTATACGTTCAACATGAATAACATAGGTTACTATCTATACGTTCAACTGATGAATAACATAGGTTACTATCTATACGTTCAAGTGATGAATAACATAGGTTACTATCTATACGTTCAACTGATGAATAACATAGGTTACTATCTATACGTTCAACTGATGAATAACATAGGTTACTATCTATACGTTCAAGTGATGAATAACATAGGTTACTATCTATACGTTCAAGTGATGAATAACATAGGTTACTATCTATACGTTCAAGTGATGAATAACATAGGTTACTATCTATACGTTCAAGTGATGAATAACATAGGTTACTATCTATACGTTCAACTGATCACTAACGATCTATACGTTCAAGATGAATAACATAGGTTACTATCTATACGTTCAAGTGATGAATAACATAGGTTACTATCTATACGTTCAAGTGATGAATAACATAGGTTACTATCTATACGTTCAAGTGATGAATAACATAGGTTACTATCTATACGTTCAACTGATCACTAACATAGGTTACTATCTATACGTTCAAGTGATGAATAACATAGGTTACTATCTATACGTTCAAGTGATGAATAACATAGGTTACTATCTATACGTTCAAGTGATGAATAACATAGGTTACTATCTATACGTTCAAGTGATGAATAACATAGGTTACTATCTATACGTTCAAGGATGAATAACATAGGTTACTACTATACGTTCAAGTGATGAATAACATAGGTTACTATCTATACGTTCAAGTGATGAATAACATAGGTTACTATCTATACGTTCAAGTGATGAATAACATAGGTTACTATCTATACGTTCAAGTGATGAATAACATAGGTTACTATCTATACGTTCAAGTGATGAATAACATAGGTTACTATCTATACGTTCAAGTGATGAATAACATAGGTTACTATCTATACGTTCAAGTGATGAATAACATAGGTTACTATCTATACGTTCAAGTGATGAATAACATAGGTTACTATCTATACGTTCAAGTGATGAATAACATAGGTTACTATCTATACGTTCAAGTGATGTATAACATAGGTTACTATCTTTGATACGATCAAGTGAGGAATAATAAACATCGGGTTACCTTCTACACACACCTGCACATGCCAGACAGGGAGTTTAACATAATGTACTGATTAGTACGTGAGGCTGAGTACGACTAAAGGTCAGACTATGTATGCAACAAATATATGTGCACCAGTGTTATAGAGAAGCTATGTAGGTGACCTCCATGCAAACAGTACTGATAAAGAAGTGCATCTATTTCGGATGGTGACCTCACGAGGTCAAGTATGGACGGTTTGTTTGTGAACTATAGCGATAGCAAGACACTCTGTCACAGTATGAATGACACTGATAAAGGATACCTAAAGTCAAATAAGCACAATTTATAATAAGGCCTGTTTATTCGAGAATAAACCAGAACAAGACGGACTTTTAGCCTCTCAAACCAAACTTGGGGCGATTTGCGTGATAAATAAGGGATGGAGATTTACTCTCAGAAGGAATGTGACGCTGCAGATATGTAGGCGATGAAGCTAAAGAGCAGACGTAAGTTGAAGCATAAAAGCACTTACAGTTATTGTAAGCGTGCTTTGATAAAAAGAAATATGCTCATTTGCATTTCTTCAATAAATGAAGGAAGATCGCCATGGCGAAATCTCAGATAGAATAATGTACGAATGTGTGCGCTTCATGTGCTACTGACGAATACACAGCTTTATAAAGGAAAAAGGGTGTCATGAACATTGTTGTGACACCCAGTGGTTGGTGTGCACAGAGAAGGTATGGACACTGACATGTTAGAGGTAACATTAACAGGAAGGGAACAGGTGGACACACACTGACATTAATAACCCCACGTCCCAGGAGTCACACACGGATAAACAAAGCTCATTGCAGATATTTCTGAACCTCCTTTCACTCCGAAGCATTTGAAGTGTACATTTTGTTTGAAATTTTAGATTTAATTCTAAGATCAATTTAATTACACGTGATTGATCAGCAGCACTACATGTCATTTTGGAACACCAGCCACATATTGGTGAATATGCTGAATTTGTATTCAACCTGCGATTAGGAAAATGTTTCTAAAATAGACGTGACAAATTACGGACCGTGACTGACAGTAGTTCTCATGATTGGTTTGCGAAAACAGATTTCGAACATAAATGCAAGTAAAATATTAGTTTTGTCTATGAGTTCTACTGAGGAAGGCTGTGTGACACCTGATTCTGGAAGTCCTTTCTGTCCCCTCACCTTTACTTGGTTAAGGGACCTCGTTGAGCTGGTTTGTCTCCGATATACTACATCGTGTCTTTGGTCAGGCTGTAGGTAAGTGGGAACGGCTTTGTTACATTCCACGAAACGTGAGAGACTAATGTCAAATTACCAAATTATGGACAGGCATGGCTCAGATTTACATATATATTCCAAGTCACTTAGTGAGATCTTTGTTGGATGAATATATGTCAATTTGAATAGTACCACACTTCTCTCAGAGATCTTACTTGTGAGACATTACTGGAAAATCGGGTCCCTTAATCCCATTACATAAATTGGTCTTAGCGTTAAGCAGATCATAACTCTCATTCCGTAACAAAGGCTGACGGTATTTGTAACGCTAAGATCGCTTTGCGGAATGGACCCAGTTCACGAATTTTGTTTCAAGAGCCATAATGCTTGATGGATAAACTGCTTGACCAGGCTTATTGAATGTCTAGTGGCTCAAACTATCAACCACTGGTTTGTTTTGCCGGGACCAAGGTTATATGCACAAGGTTAAATCAGTACCTACCTGGAAATGGGATATGTCAATACACCATTCTGACACTCAAAGTACAAGATATTTTCAAAAGTCAAACTTGATTCTTCCTTTATTTATGGACTTGGGCGACAAACATGTCGTCTTAATATGAAACAACGTGACAGGGCATTGCTAGGTTGGATGTGGGTTGTTGTCAATGTTACCTCAGGCACATCAAACGGCATTTTGCAAAATTCAAATCTCAGTAAAATACAGATAACCTGTTTTGACCAAGCAAGTTATTCTGTGCATATGTACCAAAAGTGATTGTATTCTGTTACTAGATAGCGTCAGTGTTTTACTCTTATTTGAAGCAAAATACTCCGAATATATGATTAACTAACATGCACATGCGCCAACGAAACACATCCGGTTTTAGTTAGATCGATTTCAAATAACGTCAATGTAATAGAAGGCAAAAAAGCCATGGTGATGCCAATGGTGGTTGTACGATGACTGTACCGATCCACTGTTTCGAAATACAAAGCTCTAAAATTCACAAACGAGACAGATGACATTCTGTAATTAAACCCCACCCCCACCTCCTTTCTTAAAAGAACTGTCATTTACATTTACTTCGGATGCCATACATTAGTCTTCCTTATCCTACAGCTAGTACTTATGTCGAGACATAATATCGCTATGCGTCTATATACAGATGAATCGTTACAGTCCATTACTACCCAAGTACACAAATGAAGTTCGTGACAGGCATTTAGAAGCTGATCTAACATTAACACATGACACGTTTTATGGATAAATACTTCTGTTTATGCTTTATCACGTTTCAGAGCTTATTCTTGCTCCTGATTACCTGATGAAGAAGCAATAATTAGCTCTCAAAACGTCGTGAAAAAGAATAAAAGGACGTTTATCCATAAAACGAGTCATGTACCAAATACACAAATGTTCAAATGAATATATTACATCGCCCTCATCACTGCTGCTCATCTGGTCATTGGCCATGCTGGCTGCGCTATCTCTGGACGAAGAACTGGATGAGCCTGAAGAAGAAAATATGGAACACATTTAGTCCTCAAGCATAGCACAGGCGGGAGTTCAAATCTGAGATTGCGAAGTAAAGCCCAACCGAAAAATACTTGATATACTATAACAATATACATGTATGTTCATTGTAAGTCTTCCTACTTAGTAATGAGGAAAGTATTACATATGATTTCACCCCAGGAAATGATACACTAAAGTACTCTTGTATAAGATAACCTACTGCATCCGATAAGTTCGAGACCTAACTTCATTAGTATTATTAATTGGTCAAGCAAACACCTCGGAGATTTACACATGGAATCGTGATAAAGAGTCGAAATTGTCATTTTTTATTTTTAGCTGAACAATTGAATTGCCTTTGCATGTGTTTGTGACTAGTGCCAGGTGTTGGGCCGGACACGATCACATTCTACGAACACTGTGATTTAATTGTGACTCACAAACATTATTTATTAGTACAGAAATAATTTTCGTCGCCCAGATTTGGTATGTTTAATGCTAGCGTAAAACACAACATCAGCAGATTGGCCAGAAAACACCAGCAAGATAATGCAGTTAAGGACCGTCAGAGTTCAGAGCGGATACAAAGGGCTCTTAGTGAGGATACAACCCTCCGCACAAACACAAGACTTTACCAGTTTATGCCAAGTGGCGGGTTGAAAAGTGGCTTTCACATCGTCGATTGTACAACAGAAAGGTCCGAAACTGCCTAAATCACCCGCGTATAGATCCAGACGACCTAACAGACGTCGTTGTTCACTACCAGAGCAGAAAGTAGCACGACTAGCTTGGCGTTAGGTTCGACGTCACTGGAATTTGAGGTCATGGGAAGGGTCCACTGGTTGGACGACATTCTGTTTCTCTTGTTTATGACTGATGGGTGAGCTCGTATTTGGCGTCACAGAAACACTACATATGGACAACGGAATATCTTGGAGTATATAAGTACTGCTTGACGGGGGTCATTGACGACGAGGGGGTGCCTCTCACATGACTGTAAACATGACCTTGTGACGATCATACAAATCTGTATGGTCAATGGTACATCACTGACAGTTCAGACATGGTTGTTGTACCACATTTCGATGACCATCCTCCGAACACAAGGCCAGTCTTCATCAACAGCAATGCTAGGCCGTTAGTGATTTCTTATGTCAAGAGGCTGTAGCAACTCTACCTTGGCCCGATGGAGTCCAGACCGATATATTCAATAGAGCATGTTTGGGACATTATGGGTTCCAGAATACGCCTGAAATATCCTCCAGTATATAATCTGGACAAGCCCTACATCAAGGTCAGAAAGCAATACCCCAACGTCAAATTCAACGACTGATATCGTTAATGAGTTATCTCTTGTTGAGTTATAGAATTCATCAGAATAGCCTTAGCGTTTTTACTATTCAACTCATATTGTATTACATCAGACAAGAGTGAAAATTCAGCATTACAAACGTTATTAGAGTGAGAGTGTTAGAGTGAGTGAGTGAGTTGGGTTTACGCCGCTTTTAGCAATATTCCAGCAATATCACGGCGGGGGGACACCAGAAATGGGCTTCACACATTGAACCCATGTAGGGAATCGAACCCGGGCCTTCGGCGTGACGAACCAACGCTTTAACCTCTAGGCTACCCCACCGCCCCAGTTACTAACTGAGGAAGAGGGTCAGAGATGTTATTGCAGTTACACCAGATCTTGAGATCGTGTTCGGTTATTGATACCTATGTTATTTCTCGAGGATTTTATGCCACGATTTTGAAACTAACCCCACTTAACGTCACACGACCATAGTTATCAGCACTACAAAATGAGGCCATGTTTTCCATGTTTGCTCTATGAATTCTCTTCAGTTTTACTTCTTTTTTCGCGTTTAGACTTGCCATCTAATTATACCTTGAGGGTCAATTTAAATTTAATTGAGGTTGGAACAAATTCCTTGGCTATGGTTAATTTTAACATATCGATACTGCCAAAAACATGGGGTGTTGCGATACTAATTTCTATGTATATATGTTTAGAATACTTCCAATGGAACATTTCACACAAATGGACTTTACTCAAACATTGACTCAAGTGTGAGCCCTTGACGTATTTCGAGTGTTAGGATACTTAAATCACACTCCAATGATTTATGAATGAAAACCTTTCTATTTCCAGCACGAGACGTTTAACAACATGCTGTACTCACTCGTCGTGCTCAGGTTGCTGAATCTAAGACTGGACGGATTGTTGTTTCCACCTGGGATCGGCCGGGTTGCAATCGGGTCCTGCAACACAACCACATGCAGCTACAAACAGCACTCCCTAACATCGCCCACATGAAGGAGTATACACATATATCTCTACACAACCCTGTATAAAAGTCTTCGTTACACTTGAGTGCACGCCCACCCGCTCTGACTGGGTTCGGTATCCCGGCTGCTTCGTTTCGAGGGAGGTAAACCCAAGTACAAAATATTGCACTTTTGATTTGCGATTGTACGCTTATAATTTTGTTTATTTGTTTTTTCATAATCAGCACCGATATTATATGTCATGAAGAAGTGATAATTGTGTTTTAATTATGTTTGATTTTTTGGTTGCATGTGACCTTTACTGCCGAGCTTCGTACCTACACATTACTAAACACATACACTGCGAACACACAGTGTGTGTGTGTGTGTGTGTGTGTGTGTGTGTGTGAGAGAGAGAGAGGTATTACTGAGTATGCAGCCTCCCGTCATTTAGCTGACATATTACTGAGTATGCAGCCTGTCGTCATTTAGCTGACATATTACTGAGTATGCAGCCTCCCGTCATTTAGCTGACATATTACTGAGTATGCAGCCTCGTCGTCATTTAGCTGACATATTACTGAGTATGCAGCCTGTCGTCATTTAGCTGACATATTACTGAGTATGCAGCCTCCCGTCATTTAGCTGACATATTACTGAGTATGCAGCCTGTCGTCATTTAGCTGACATATTACTGAGTATGCAGCCTCCCGTCATTTAGCTGACATATTACTGAGTATGCAGCCTCCGTCATTTAGCTGACATATTACTGAGTATGCAGTCTCCCGTCATTTAGCTGACATATTACTGAGTATGCAGCCTCCCGTCGTCATTTAGCTGACACATTTAGTATGCAGCCTCCCGTCATTTAGCTGACATGCTGAGCCAGCCTCGTCATTTAGCTGACATATTACTGAGTATGCAGCCTCCCGTCATTTAGCTGACATATTACTGAGTATGCAGCCTCCCGTCATTTAGCTGACATATTACTGAGTATGCAGCCTGTCGTCATTTAGCTGACATATTACTGAGTATGCAGCCTGTCGTCATTTAGCTGACATATTACTGCAGTATGCAGCCTCCGTCATTTAGCTGACATATTACTGAGTATGCACTGAGTATGCATATTCATTTAGCTGAGTATGCAGCCTCCCGTCATTTAGCTGACATATTACTGACATATTACGTCATTTAGCTGACACATTACTGGTAATGCAGCCTCCCGTCATTTAGCTGACATATTACTGAGTATGCAGCCTGTCGTCATTTAGCTGACATATTACTGAGTATGCAGCCTCCCGTCATTTAGCTGACATATTACTGAGTATGCAGCCTCCCGTCATTTAGCTGACATATTACTGAGTATGCAGCCTGTCGTCATTTAGCTGACATATTACTGAGTATGCAGCCTCCCTGTCGTCATTTAGCTGACATATTACTGAGTATGCAGTCTCCGTCATTTAGCTGACATTTAGCTGACATTACTGAGTATGCAGCCTGTCGTCATTTAGCTGACATATTACTGAGTATGCAGCCTCCCGTCATTTAGCTGACATATTACTGAGTATGCAGCCTCCGTCATTTAGCTGACATATTACTGTCATTTAGTATGCAGCCTGTCGTCATTTAGCTGACATATTACTGCAGCCTCCGTCATTTAGCTGCCATGTCTGGAGTCATGCAGCCTCCCGTCATTTAGCTGACATATTACTGAGTATGCAGCCTGTCGTCATTTAGCTGACATATTACTGAGTATGCAGCCTCCCATCATTTAGCTGACATATTACTGATATGCAGCCTGATTATGCATATTACTCCCTCCCATCATTTAGCTGACATATTACTGAGTATGCAGCCTCCCATCATTTAGCTGACATATTACTGAGTATGCAGCCTCCCATCATTTAGCTGACATATTACTGAGTATGCAGCCTCCCATCATTTAGCTGACATATTACTGAGTATGCAGTCTCCCGTCATTTAGCTGACACATTACTGAGTAGGCCAAACAACAACAACAACATATACGTACAGATATCTGAAGGACGTGTTTGGGCGGCTTCTGGCGCTTGCTGATGAGTCTGGCGAAGAAACTGGGTTTGCTGGTTTTTTTGGACATCTGATCGGCCGTTGTTGTCACTGTAGTGATGACAGTGTTGTAGTCTTCTCGCATCTGCCGCAGGGTATTCTGTTCAACAGAATATATATATACATATATATATATATATATATAAACTCTTAGTTATCTCATAAGGTATCTCAAATCTGACAAACATCAACTGTACGATTTCGACTACATCAAAAGCACGGAATTATGAATCACTTGCAGATACAGAAATGTGAGGCGTTTCTGCCCCATCGTTGACGACCATCACAAACACGAGCAAAGGCAATTCAATTGTTCACAGGAAAAAACTAAAACATGGGAACATATGTACAACTGACCTCCACATTTCAACTTTAAAATGTTTTGAAAGCTTTACTGAAGGTGTGGATGTTGTAATCATGATCAAATGACCTTTTAGCAAGTCAACTATTTGGCGATGTGACGGTGATCGGTCGCTGATCTGTCTCTCTACCTAAACCTAGGTGAATGAACTAAAATGTCCAACAGGAGAGAAAATATGGCTTAAGCTGATTCCGAAGCTCTCACTGGCTCTCCGGCTATTTTTTCCGACTCATCTCTTCAAGTTAAAGGCCGGTCTTATAGAGAAGGAACCATTGACCACTGTACACAAGCCGACCACGCCTGTCGCCATGATGAACGACACAGACAGGGCAGGCATAAAGTGGTTGATTGCAAATAGTTGAAAGAACCGACTACGGAGATAGCGAGTACATAATAGCTATGAGACAAAAGAGCTTCACCAAAACTCTTCGGTATTCTAGCCTAAGCGAAATGTCGGCAATTGAAACGAGTTTGAAACCAAATTTCCTATTAAGGAGTTATATTCGAGGAAGAATAATCTCCTCATATGTGTTATTACCTACGGAAACAATCCGGAACATTCCATCAATGTTCTGACTGTCTGAAACAGCCTGGACCAGACAATCCAGTGCCTGACATCATGTGCGTCTATCTACTCATGTAGGGTAAGATGACAGTCAATACCCAGGTCAGCCAACCTGACAATCCAGTGACTGACATCATGTGCGTCTATCTACTCATGTAGGGTAAGATGACAGTCAATACCCAGGTCAGCCAACCTGACAATCCAGTGCCTGACATCATGTGCGTCTATCTACTCATGTAGGGTAAAATGACAGTCAATACCCAGGTCAGCGAACCTGACCACCTGATCCCGTTAGTCGCGTCTATGGACAAGCATGGACGATTCTAACGTAGATCTTCACGGGTAACCTTGCAACCTGCAACGGGTAACCTGATCTTTGAGGCTACCACAAGTGACCAGTAGATCCCGAAAGGGTAGCAGTAGTCTCAAGGTATACTTGTGTTCGACTGATTGATCTCACTCTCTGCTAACACCCCGATAGACAAGGATTTACTGCCTCGGGATTACAAGAGATAACACGAGGATAGCAACTGAATAATAATTGTTTAGTTTTCCTTATGAGTGTAATCAATTTGGAGAAAATGACAAACTTAAGTCCTGTGTACATTGAGCGTCCTCCTGTACAGGGAAACTGAAAGAACTGATTTTCAGATAAACCATTACAGGAGATAAAGAGGGAGCGAAGGTGGAGGTGTATTCGGTCGAGATGGGTCGGGGTGGGGATTCCTTGACGGGGAGTGGGGTGTGCAGGGGGCAGGGGGCGTTTTGAGATAAAATAAAAAAAATCAATGAACGCCCTCACGCGCAGACACAGGTATACTCTCTACACGTTACATACCTAACGTGGAGAAGATGAAATATGTAGAGTTAGAGGTTTGTAGCGAGGAACATATGTCGTACACCGAGAATGGCATTATCCATACATAGTTATTTGGCATTACTCTTAGAGAACCATAGACCATTATATAAATGTAAGGAGACACCTCGGAAACTCATCAGTCCTGTAGTTCTACGTTGTTTGACCATCTTCGACCTGACACAATAATCGTTATCTCCTGGGTTAAAAAGTATACAACTTCAGCATCAAGCTTCCAGCCTACAACCTCCAGTCCTCAACCCCCAACCTCTCACCCATCCCCCAACACCAACCCTAAAACCCCCAGCCCCCAACATCCAACCTCAATGCCCAACCTCCAACCCTCAATCCCCAACCCTAAACCCCCAGTCCCCAATCCCCATCCCCAACCTCCAACCTCCATGCCCAACATCCAACCCTCAACCCGCATCCCCAACATCAAACCCGCATCCCCAACCTCCAACCCTCAACATCCAACCTCCATACCCAACCTCCAACCCTCAACCCCATCCCCCAACATCCAACCCTCAAACCCAACCCCCAAACATCCAACCTCCATGCCCAACCTCCAACCCTCAACCCCAACATCAAACCTCCAACCCCCATCCCACATCATCCAACCTCCAACCATCAACCCCATCCCACAACCTCCAACCTCAACCCCCATCCCCAACCCCCAACTCTCATCCCCAACATCAAACCCCACCCCCACCCCAAACATCCAACCTCCATGCCTAACCTCCAACCCTCATCCCCCAACATCAAACCCTCATCCCCCATCCCCAACATCCAACCTCCATGCCCAACCTCCAACCCTCATCCCGCAACCCTCCACCCACTTCTGTACGTGATTACCTGTCTTTGCTTGAAGGACCTAGACTGTCCTTCCACGTTCCTTTGTTACCAGGCTTTGAACAACATGAGCACCCTCAGTCCCCAATCCCCCAGCACCCTCAACCTCCATCCCCAACCCCAACCTTCCATCTACTTCTGTACGTGGTTACCTGTCTTTGCTTGAAGGACCTAGACTGTCCTTCCACGTTCCTTTGTTACCAGGCTTTGAACAACATGAGCACCCTCAGTCCCCAATCCCCAGCACCCTCAACCCCCATCCCCCAACCCCCAACCCTCCACCTACTTCTGTACGTGGTTACCTGTCTTTGCTTGAAGGACCTAGACTGTCCTTCCCCGTTCCTTTGTTGCCAGGCTTTGAACAGCATGAGGGCTTCGTGGGGATTAAAGTTGCCTTCTTTCACGCCGTCCATTATCTCTAGTAGTTCGTTTTGACTCGTGGAACCCATGGCAACTCGTGGTAGGGCTTCTGCAAGCATCAGTGAGACTTTCAAACATCACAACCTCTTCTCATTTGTAATAGATTATTACAGGACAAGGTTATATTGGTGATTAGTTTCAGAGGGTTGTAATATAAAGAGTATTGAAGAGGAAGTTATGATGCATCCTTTTGGAATATGCATAATGCATGACATATTGGTTGAACTTCATAAATGAGCACGGCTCAAACGTGAAAACGAGTTAGGTACGAGTTAGGTAGCCTTTTCAAATACACGTACACGAAAGCGATACAGACAATCACCCTTGCCTCGAGCTCTGATGTGTCGCACTAGCGGGTATCTCGAAGTTAAAAGCTTGGCTCTTCAATGTCAATATGATGAGGTCGTGTCGAAAATCGGACACCTCGAAATGTTTACGAAGGCCCCTTTAATTTCTTCAGAACGGTGTTGGAGTGAAGTTTCTACATGCTTTTCCGGGCGTATGTGTCAATGAAATTCATTGCTGGTACACAAAGTCTTCACTAATTGTTCATATGCAGGATATCTGGCGGGTAACATTTAACACCATGTTACTCAAACAAACCCTTATGTGACTTAGAAAGTACGACAATAAGGTGAATGGACATGTAATGGGTACGTACGTTCGTCCTCTACTATACCCATAAAAACAGAGGGTGTTAATCCTGCAGGCAGTGTCTTGGACTTCGACTCATTATCATCAGGAATACGTGAAGGTCTTGGAGCTCGTTCAGATTTAACTCTCATCAGATTGGAAGCGGCTGGGGACCGGGGCCTGGATGCTGGGGCACAGGCCGCTATAGGAGAAGAATGACGTTGACATCCCCCAGAGAACAATAGGTCAGATGCTAGTACACTGCGCATGAGGCAGGCGTGCCGGTGAGTATGTGCACACGTAGGAAGATCATGGGTTAGATGTTACAGCATGCAGCGTTAAGAAGGGCAAATACCCGTTTGGAATACTCATAAGCGAACGTAACTATGATCGTATGTATTTATTGAAAACTGAAGACTAGTGATGGTGATGGTAACTATTTAGCTGTACTCGATGAACAATAATCTAATGTGACTACAAGCAACTTGGTGAGACAGGCCAACTTAGGGAACGTTCATAATTCTTGGCTGTGTGTGTGTGTGTGTGTTGATTTTAAGGTGTGTGTGTGTGTGTGTGGGGGGTTTAACCCATTTTGTTCTGGGGAGGTACACATGTACTAAGGGGTGGGTCAGCAATTTTGTACATGACATGCGGTGGTGGTGGTGGGGGTGGGGGTGGGCGTTCACTTTATTTGTACATAAATATTAGGGGGTCATTCGCATTGTACATGCTTCTCCATAAAATTCATCATCACAACCCTGGCCATAAATTATGAACGGACCCCTTAGTGAAGTTACACCAATTTGTTTTCCTTTTCAATGTGTGTAAGGAACCGTCTGATAATATAACAAATTCAAAGGAAAATAAATTACACGTAACTTTTCCGATATTAGCTTTATCGAAAATAGATGCATTGAAGATAAACATGATCAAAGTTACTTTTGCTTTGGAATATATACAAACTTGGCATTTAGTGAAACACTGACACTGGTGAAGACAGGTGCGGGTGAAGACATTAAGAAGCATGGCATCACTGTAAGACAGGTAAGATGAGTTAGAACAGCGTGGGAGAACAATGTACGAACAACAAACACATGCACACGTGTAAACCGTGGAACTGAAGAAGCATTCAGTGTTAGTATGCTCATTGTGAAAATATATCGTCATGCAGTGTAAGGGTAAACTGTTTGGCAGTTATGACGAACCACGTCCTGGCCAGACTACAGATACTGAAGCAAAGAATGAAATGAAAATGTGTTCTCTGCGTCCGTGGGGCACATGAGCTACTCTGATAAGGATGAGAGGCGGGAACAGGACAGATTAGAGGCGTGTCTATTTAATCAGCTCATCGGATTTACATAATGGTAAATTCCTATTGTTTCAGACTGTGACGTGAAAAGATTCCCACATAATATTTATAGTTGAATAACCATCCAAAAGTTGTTTCAACGGAAGAGGAAATGACATCACTATGCTTTGAAGACCATTTTAACATAATCTAATAGCAAGACGTCACAATCAAATGACATCACTAATCTCTCCTACTGAAGATGAAACATTAACTGTGCTATTTATACTCAGTAATCGGATTTTACTGTTCGCATACAGACACGTTGGAAGAAAGGCTTGGATGATAAATAGAATCACACCCTCGTGTCTTCTAAGTTCAAATATATCAAGATAGATATTGTTATGATGAAAGTATATTAATCATATCTACTCATGGAAACGAATAAGGGAACACATGAAAATACAAGTGTTCCTATACGTTTTTCTAGGATTCTTAGCCTGCTTTGTATTGCACTGTGAGTGAAATTCTGGAAATAGATACAAGAACACTTGAACCTTCATGTTTTCCCTTATTTATTCCCATGAGTATATAATCCCCGAGCCTAGGATTAGGTAATTTGTATCAACTCATCTCGATGTATTTGATCTTGGAGGACACTGTGTGAGATTCCCTAATCCAAGTTGGAAAGGTCATCTTGCCGAAAGTTGAAATACAGAAAAATGTCCTACCGCGACCTGTGCTAGCGGCAACAACAGTCGAGCTTAGATATGTCGTCGGTTTTACTGAAACACACGTGATGTCTGCTTGAAGGCATATCCTACATATAAGCTATGTTTGGAGAAACACCAGCTTGCCACGTCCTTGCAGATGTTGATTCAAACAAGACATCGTTCCAGTCGATTCAGATGTCGATTCAGACGTACATACTTAATAAAAGGGATCCTAAATATTTTCAGGACATTGTTATGAAATTTCCTGCTCAGTCTTAAATTCGACTCACAATCTCCAAAATATTCAAGATAGTTCACATTTGATTATATATTCATTATATATTGGTTCACATTAGCCTTAAATGTACGTTATGATAACTTCGAATTGATAAGCGTTGTCATTGTGGTACTATTGATAACAAAATTACTTTGAAACATATGCAAAAGTGCTTTGTAAGCGTGCTAGATTTATTAATAATTATGGTATCATGGTGTTCAGGTTCATGACAAGGGGTTCCTTGAGTAGCCATGATGGTACAAGGCTTCACCGAGTTAGAAAATAAGCAATATTACCGGGCCCCACGTGTAGTCTGGAGTGGCGTGAACATAATCAACAATCAACAAACAGAGACAATACCAGAAGCAACTGACCGCTACTAGTAAACACGAATGTGCGTATATATGTGCAAAGCGTTACATTCTACTCAGCTGTCTACAGTACATACCAGTACAATGTGACACAAGGCATACAGCACAACATTGCTATCTTGAAGCTTCAAACCTATTATAGTGAACGTAGTTAGGCAATATCATGCCAAGTATCTCTGAAAGCCATGCCCCTATAGTCTTAAATTTTGCATTGATTGAGCATCAAATCATTACTTATGTGGGGCACAGCACTGAACTTCATCGCATATTATTTTCCTTATTTCTTGACTCTGCTTTTAGCAGAGATTTCGTATGGATGTGGAAAGGGTTTTGTCGCTTCTATTTACATAGTGAGTATAAGGTATTGACGGGAATGTACCTACCATCTGATGACTGTCGTCTCGGCTTGTTGGGTACTGGGGGTAGTTTGGATGCCCGGGGCTGTATAGGGGGAGGAGGAGCAGTGCCAAGGTTGGGGGGTAGGGCAATGGAATACGGGTCCTCCGGTTCTTCAGGAATGGAAGGGCCCCGACCCTGCATTTCCATGTAGTAACCTTGAGGAAAGAAGAACGATGAGTTACAGAAGCAAATGAAAAGACAATAAATACCACAGATCTTATAACAGTCTTGGAATATTAGAAGTAACCGAGAAACCGACACACATAATCGTGAGGAACCGGGATTCGAACAGCGAATTGTGGCGCCTCACACAACACATTCCCCTTCGCCTTATAGAACAGCTGACTGAAGTTTGTCATAACCTGTTAAGCCGTAGCATCCGCTTCGGTTGCAGGACAGCTTGTTATAGAAAGTTACACAAACGCAAAAGTTAAGGTACTGATATAATACTTATTTGTTTAAGGGATATATATGAGAATGTGTTTTAAGGCTTACTTTCCAGTGGCCTACTGATCTCCGACCTTGTAGTAATGGGAGATAATCGATAAAGTAAGTACTTACTTTCAGTCTCAACTCCCGGGCTCGTGTTTGTATACCCTGCCGCCATGTGGGTGTAGAGATCACACGCGTCCGCGAGATAGGCCGTCTCCTGCACATACACGTGCATTTTTAGTCAACACACAATTTAAATCATCCCCATACACACAGACACACACAGACACACACATGCATGTATACATACATATACACACATACATACATACATATATACACACATACATACATAAATACATATATATATATATATATATATATACATACATATATACACATACACACACATACATACATACATACATACATACATACATACACATACACACACATACATACATACACACATACACACATACATATATACACACATACATACATACATACACACACATACATACATACATACATACATACATACATACATACATACATACATACATACATACATACATACATACATACATACATACATACATACATACATACATACACACATACATACACACACATACACACATACATACATACATACATACATACATACATTGTTGGAGGTTTCAGTTGTTGGAGGGTGGGTCTGGCGGGTTGTGAAACACTTATTTCTTATTTCAGAATATTTGTCAGAGATAAGTAGGGCATGGAGCTCGTCTTCAACATAGTTTAGGCCAACAGAGTGGCAGTAGAGGCAGACACGTTGATCATAGGGTGTATTTGTGTGACGACCGGTTTTCACTGCTAATCTAAAGTTGTTACAGCGGAACATAGCCATAACTTTCCTTTGATATGGAAGGAGGTCACAGGACAAGTAGTGTTCAGCATTAAGTAAAGATTTAAATTGTGAATAATATTTACATTTAGATGAAGAGTCAAGTGAGGAACGCCAATATTGAAGGAAGCAGGCATAAAATCGCTGCTTGAAGATGGATATAAATGTTTTAATGCTGCCAATTTCGTGTGAGATCCATACAAACCCAAAACCATACTGAAAAAGGATTTGTCTTATGTGTGAAGCCCAGGTAGATTTATTATAATCATCAAGAGATTTGAGCATTTGGTAGGCCTGATAAGGAAGTCTATGGTGTTGTAGCTGCAACAGTCTGCACCAGTACATTATTGATCAGGAAGTATATTGGTATTGCAGTGAGAGTCTGCCACACTCTCCAAGCACCATGCTATTGTTGGTATACTTGCTGACTTTAAGAAAGGTCTTACAGAACTTAAAATGTACAGTTTCAATATGTCTGCAATAAGTGGTTCCCCAAATCTCACAAATCCATAACACAGAATAGGTGTAATCATGGAATCAAATATCTTAAAGATGTCCTTGTGATTAATACATCCTAAAATGTTTCTGGTAATTATAGATGGAGAATATAGCTTTACTTGCTTGAGCCGCTAAACAGGATGGGGCTTTAGTCCATGACAGTTTAGGAGTGAACACAATCCCAAGATATCTGTACATATTCACAACTTCTATTTGTTCACCATTTAAAAAATATTTCTCATAGGAACGGAGAGGACCACCATTTCTAAAAACAATAATTTTGGTTTTGTTCAGATTGACTTTCATTCCTGTATCTGCACAGAATTTTTCAACAATATTAATTTTCTTTTGGAGCTGTAAAGCAGTGTCTGATACAGTTGATACATCATCAGCAAATAATAGCGAAAATACATAGTTGAAGAGACAATAGTTATCGAAATTGTAAAACAACCTTCCAGTGGAATTTGTTTTCAGGATAAAGCATCACAAAGTCGTGAAGAGCCAGAGCCAGTTTCCTTACCATGAAATCTCGTATATACTGAGCCAGTTCCGGGTGGTTGTAGACATCTGCGAGGTCAGCTGGGTCTCGGCCATCACAGTTCTCCACCTGGAAGGCTATCAGCGACCCCGGAACATCCAGCAGGCAGGAACAAAACTCGGTAAGACCGTTTGCAGCTGCGAAGTGCAGCATGGTTGGGTACTGGCTCTTGCTCTTACTGACTCCTGAAAGACGAAAGTGACATCTATTACCACTACTATCATCACTGACTTTACTGCTATTACCACTACTATCATCACTGACTTTACTGCTATTACCACTACTATCATCACTGACTTTACTGCTATTACCACTACTATCATCACTGACTTTACTGCTATATCATCACTGACTTTACTGCTATCACCACTAACATCATCACTGACTTTACTGCTATTACCACTACTATCATCACTGACTTTACTGCTATTACCACTACTATCATCACTGACTTTACTGCTATTACTACTACTATCATCACTGACTTTACTGCTATTACCACTACTATCATCACTGACTTTACTGCTATTACCACTACTATCATCACTGACTTTACTGCTATTACCACTACTATCATCACTGACTTTACTGCTATTACCACTACTATCATCACTGACTTTACTGCTATTACCACTTCTATCATCACTGACTTTTCTGCTATTACCACTACTATCATCACTGACTTAACTGCTATTACCACTACTATCATCACTGACTTTACTGCTATTACCACTACTATCATCACTGACTTAACTGCTATTACCACTACTATCATCACTGACTTTACTGCTATTACCACTACTATCATCACTGATTTTACTGCTATTACCACTACTATCATCACTGATTTTACTGCTATTACCACTAATATCATCACTGACATTACCAGTGCTGTTGTACTTTATACTACCACTGAAATTGTCCTACCATGGAATTTTGTTACAGCCATTGTATTAAGTTTGCAGTAATACATACTGATTTGTAAAGCCTTGTTCATTTTACAAAACAACTATTAATTGCATAACATTAAAATTCTATTTCTTGTTTGTTGGTTCATTCAGAATTTCTGCTTACAGATTACTGATTACCGTATCGTTTCAATAAAATACTGAGAGTCCCATGATATTATACATGCTTACAATATGTCAGAGAAAACAGGAATATGTTTAACTGGCCTTCAACTGAGAAGTTTCATTTTCTATTTTGTTTGTTTTTATCCTTTTCATACTCATGTAGCCTGCAGACATAGATTACCGATGTACTAAACGAACAGATGTGTTTTCGTAATGTCAGTAGATTTAAACAACCACCAGGAAGGAAGGACGTCACCCCACGTACCAGGGGAAACACGAAAAACACTCAACATCTAGTGTAAATATAATGTGCTTCGGTTTTTACACTGAAAGGAAAACGGGTTTGTGTTAATTTCCTCGACAGATAACATATACATGGTCACAGAGCTTTGTAAATATATGAAATAGAGCACATTCTCTATACTTTCTGAGGAATAGATGCTCGAAAAGGTAGAGAAAATTACAACATGACTAACATAGTCCACGTTTCTGGAAGCAGGAAATAGAATTCAGATGAAGCTATTTCTGGGACATCATATCACATCGCCTTTTGTTTCCATTCAGGGTTTCGTCTTGTGTCACTAGGATTTATAATCGTAATCTCGTAGTATCCATATTTACGGCTATCGTTAGTGGGTCATTAACATGTAACAACGATACTGACTATGAATCTACGGTGACAAATGAGTCATCGCTGCTTCCCGGGTTTGTGTAGGAGTGAATGGGATGTGTTTAACACCACCGTGAACATTACACCAGTTATATCCTGGACTGAAGATTTAACGTTGGCGGAGAACACAAGATGATACAGTTCTCAGACAATTACAATTTTCGTGGAATTCACGAAGACCGTTATGGTGCTGGCAATCCAAGGAACATAATCAGACAGGATTCGAACCCACAATCACTGGTTATTTAATCACATCGGCAGTATTTCAGCCATATCGTGACTATGACCGTTGTATATTAAAAATAAATTCAGACAATATAAATATCTGTCAACGAAGGACAGTAAAAAATCTAGATTATCACAAATGTAAACTCAAACTAGCATGTTATCATAAAACAATATAGAAATGGGCTTTAGACCGCCAACATCACCACACTAGGGACCATGGGGACTTACAGGACTTTGCTACCTGCATGGGCCCTAGCTGGATTTACACCATCCCGTCAGTCGCTGGCCCGGCTCTACTGTAAAGCGGATAGGACGTGAACACTTGTTAAAGACATGCGACACTGGGTCAGTCATACATAAACCTTGGACTTTCATATGAGTTAACATGTGACAGTTCACGTTGCAGATTAAGCCGCTAATTGTCTTGAAGTCATGATAAATTTAAACATATTATTTGGCTATAATTTGCAATGACGTAAATTACCCGCAGCCAGGTTCGTCTTCAATTTCTCAAACAAGAATTCCAGACTATCGTCCTCTGGAATGCTGCTTTCCAGGGCATCCACCAACTTCCGGTCCAATGCTGCCCTATTTTCACATTGCAGTGCTTGAGACAGATACTCCACAGAGTGGAACGCGCTTTCCTGTGGTGCCGTGTAATAAAATGGTGTCTTGTGAATTTCTTTGGCATCTTGGAAAACATGAAGGATGTAGTTCCCGGGTGCAAGATCTGTGAGGAAGGAAATACATTCATTGAAGGTATACTGTAGTATGGTTCAATAGTCGGTGTACTTATGTGTTACATGTTTCGATGTAGGAAACTAAAGTCTTCTTTATTGCCATGAACGATACTATGTACACTTCACGTGGATATAATTATGACAATACATAACTGTCAGTATCATCTTTTCCTCTGAAAACAAACTGGGATTCAGACAATCGACTAATAAGGGTCGGGTGGTCATTGTGTATGTGTCAAGCTGCCCTCATGACCTACATAATGACTCATGGTCTCAACCACTGATTTGCTTGACGCTGTGATACAGCGAAAATAGAACTTCCTGCGACGTCAAACAAGATTCCAATGCAAGTACGATGCTTTACAAAATCGTCAGAACACTTTCATCTGAAGAGACAATTCCTGAGTTATAGCATCGTAACAAACATGAAGGTCCACAAAGGACAAAGACAGATATCAGCAACTTAAACGACTGTAGCTGACATTACCAAAAAACATACCTGGTGCTTTTAATTTGACTGTATAAGGATTCAATTTCTTGGTGTCGTATTTGGTCTTAAGATCAGTGAAGCTGACTTGAATTGTTCCCTTTTTCTCTTCCTTGAAGGCTATTACAATGTCATCTTGTGGCTGGAATATGGACAAGAATGGTCAGCTTAGTAATGTTGGGTATTATAAACTGTGCAGTTATGGGTTATTTGGGACAGATCGAACTGTTTTGAAGGTCATCTGGCTTTTGGTAAGTTCGTGTGTCTTGAAGACTTGTATCAAAAGGGTAAAGACGATTATACTTGGATCAAGAAGGGGTAACTATAAAAGATACTTTCAGTTAAATTGATCAAATCTGTGACACTGTTTGTGCAATATCATATAATATCATTAGTTCGCAGGAAGATGTCTAATTGCAAGTACAAGTATATACACAGGACTTCTAACTTGAAAAAGGGCGGTGGTGTAGCCTAGAGGTTAAAGCGTTTGTTCGTCACGCCGAAGGCCCGGGTTCGATTCCCTACATGGATTCAATGTGTGAAGCCCATTTCTGGTGTCCCCCCGCCGTGATATTGCTGGAATATTGCTAAATGCGGAGTTAACCCAACTCACTCAGTCACTCTAACACTCTCAATCACATAACGTTTGTAATGCTGAATTTTCACTCTTGTCTGATATAATACAATATGAGTTGAAAAGTAAAAACGCTAAGGCTATTCTGATGAATTATATAAACTCAACAAGACTCAGTCTTATGGCTTTAATATTATTTCAAACATATCAAACACTGAAAAATGTATTTCATTGACAGAGCATATAACAATGGTGACGATTCCTATATCAGAGGTAATCATGAACTCCTGAAATACATACCCCGCGGACACGACTGGGGATCACTTTCAGCTTCACATCAGCATGGCCCTTGGATTCCTTCTTGTGTACTTTCCGCTGTTGTCTGGAAGGCACGCGTGGAGGCGGTGCGTCACTCTGGTCAACAATGCCCATCATGTCTGCCACCATGTTCCTGTTTTCATTGTAATCACTGCTTATCACATAATGCTTCCATGTCGACGACTTTGTATAGTTCTCAGCTACAGCACCATCAAACTGTCCGCTGTCCACATAACACAACACGGCTACCACTGTGGTTTTGCCCTGCAACTGTTTGAATGGCTCACTGAACCAAGCCTTGTCGGCCATGAAATGAAGCATGTCTGGAGAGGCCAGGATGACGATGAGATAGGAGTCCTGTGCCGCCATGGTCACCTCTGGGGGATTTTCATACTCCAATGCATCCAAGTCAATTGATTTGATTCTGAGGGTTTTATTCATTTTAAACAGCCCCATCAGGTATTCACACCACTCTGCTGCATCCTGGACGTGGAATACTACTACGTCGTTCGACTTGGGCATTGTGTATGCCTCGTGGTCACGTTCTGCAAGAACAAAGGGCCATATTGTAACGTCAGTTTAAGTCCTACGTTCTACGTGTTCCTTATACTGTGGCAGTACTAATATGTACCATTACTGAACTGTTGCGTTCCAATATTACTATATACCATGGCAGTTCTACTATATACCGTGTCAATACTACTATATACCATGGTAGTACTACTATATACCCCGTCAATACTACTATATACCATGGTAGCACTACTATATACCGTGTCAATACTACTATATATGCCGTGTCAATACTACTATATACCATGGTAGTACTACTATATACCCCGTCAATACTACTATATACCATGGTAGTACTACTATATACCGTGTCAATACTACTATATACCATGGTAGTACTACTATATACCGTGTCAATACTACTATATACCATGGTAGTACTACTATATACCCTGTCAATACTACTATATACCATGGCAGTTCTACTATATACCGTGTCAATACTACTATATACCATGGTAGTACTACTATATACCCTGTCAATACTACTATATACCATGGTAGTACTACTATATACCCTGTCAATACTACTATATACCATGGTAGTACTACTATATACCCTACTATATACCCTGTCAATACTACTATATACCATGGTAGTACTACTAATTACCATGGTAGCACTACTATATATACTGAACAAAAAAAGAAACAAACTTTACATTTGGAGAAATAGCCAGTTCAAGATAGTTTGTATTGGAGAATAAGTCACTATTAAATGTCATCAGTTCTCCTACATATAGCATGATTCCATGTAACCAATTTGAAAAGATATAAAAACCCCACATAATTGTTGCTTGAAAGGGCAAAAGACACTGTTACTTGATAGTTTTCTGTAAATACTGGAGACAAGTCTCATATAATTCATCTGAAAAAAAACCCCACCAACGACGATAATATGACAGGATGAACATCATTAGTAGATTGCGGATGTGGGTGTGGATGTGTTTGTGAATGTGGGTGTGGATGTGGAATATGATGTGGAATATGATGTGGATGTGGATGTGGTTGTGGACGTAGATGTTGGTGTGGGTGTGGGTGTGGGTGTGGGTGTGGGTGTGGATGTGGATGTGGGTGTGGGTGTAAATACGGATGTGGATGTGGATGTGGGTGTGGCTGTGGGTGGGTGTGGATGTGAATATGGATGTGGATGTGGAATATGGATGTGGGTGTGGGTGTGGGGTGTGGGTGTGGGTGTGGGTGTGGAATGTGGATGTGGATACGGATGGATGTGGATGTGTAGAATATGGATGTGGATGTGCATGTGGAATATGAATGTGGATGTGGATGTGGATTTTTGTGGATGTGGCTGTGGGTGTGGTGTGGATACGGATGTAGAATATGGATGTGGATGTGGAATATGGATGTGGGTGTGGATGTGGATGTGGGTGTGGATGTGGGTGCGGTTGTGGGTGTGGATACGGATGTGGATGTGGTGTGGATACGGATGTAGAATATGGATGTGGATGTGGAATATGGATGTGGATGTGAATGTGGAATATGAATGTGGATGTGGATGTGGATGTGAATGTGGAATATGAATGTGGATGTGGATGTGGAATATGAATGTGAATGTGAATGTGGGTGTGGATGTGGATGTGGATGTGGATGTGGATGTGGACCATGGAGCTGTAGGGCGTTTTCGGGTACGTAGTCGCATTAAAGGTGACACAGAAAGTTGTATGGTAAACTTGCCTTTGTACTAATCACAACGACGTGTTTCCGTACATCTACCACGGACCGGTGTCATCACATGCCGTCATTACCTGAAACATAACCTTCAGTAATGAAACAGGAAACTTGAACTTGACATGAAGTCATCAATATGTCATAGGGTTTCACTTCTCCTTGGTGCGTGTAGCATTATACGCCTCTGGCATGTAATTACATGGTGGGTACAGACAGTAATATAACTCTATGTGGCTCAGTGAGACCTACGCGATAACGTTCTGCATATTGTAAACGGATACAAAATTTCCTTTACAAAGCCCCGACCTTTCATTATACAGGAGAGGGAGGAACGGTGACTCTTTGTCTTGAGATTGGGTATATTTCAGCTAAAAAAATATAAAACATTTTATGAAAAGTATGAACCGAGTTAGTTTTGCTTACATTCATTTCACAAGAATGAATTTTACGGTAGTCCGTTTCTTTTTTCTGCAGTCTGAGGCATAATTATCTTTCTACAATTTACTTTGTTCAATATATAGATCCCAGACACAACCATCCCCTTCCCCGATGGCACCACCGTTGTTTCGTTGACCAAGCCGTACCATCCTCTTTACCAAAATGTCGTATTGGAAAGACAAAAGTTAAAGTCAATCAGTCAGTATTGTCTTCACTTCCAAATACATATATAATCATTTGTACCTGTTGCGCTAAATTATTTTGTAAGAAGCTTTAATTAAATATACACATAAAGATAAATCAATTCCAGATTACCGCTATAGGCGTGTTAAGTCTGTCAAACTCCAGGGTTTGGAATGTGTCCTATCAATATGAACAAGACCAGCACAACTGTCAATATGAAACAGATCAAGCTAGTTACATCCTGTCTCAGTACAACTGTCAATATGAAACAGATCCAGCCAGTTACATCCTGTCTCAGTACAACTGTCAATATGAAACAGATCCAACAAGCTATATCATGTCTCAGTACAACTGTCAATATGAAACAGATCCAACAAGCTATATCATGTCTCAGTACAACTGTCAATATGAAACAGATCCAACAAGCTATATCCTGTATCAGTACAACTGTCAATTGGAAACAGATCCAACAAGCTATATCATGTCTCAGTACAACTGTCAATATGAAACAGATCCAACAAGCTATATCATGTCTCAGTACAACTGTCAATATGAAACAGATCCAACAAGCTATATCATGTCTCAGTACAACTGTCAATATGAAACAGATCCAACAAGCTATATCCTGTATCAGTACAACTGTCGGTATGAAACTGATCCAACAAGCTATATCATGTCTCAGTACAACTGTCAATATGAAACAGATCCAACCAGCTATATCCTGTCTCAGAACAAATGTATCTTTAAAACAAATCCTCCCAGTTATGTCCCACCTCAGTTCAACTGTCAATATGAAACATATCCTGGGTTTTGGTGGACATGTACGACTTAGTCGGGATGCACAGTGACGGCACCTACTGCCACCAACTACAGCGACGGCACCTACTGCCACCAACTACAGCGACGGCACCTACTGTCACCAACTACAGCGACGGCACCTACTGTCACCAACTACAGCGACGGCACCTACTGCCACCAAATGACTCACCCAGGCACAACAAGCATGTCAGCAACTGCGGACTATAATTACACGTTAGCTAGGCATTATGTGAATGCCTGATACGATAAACCTTCCTGATGATTCGGAAAGTGCAAAGGTAAAGATTGATTCACAACATTGACGCTTTCATATCTGCAGATAATCTAGAAGGGGTTAGCCAGGGTGGCTACCTTTGTGTGCTATGTAGGTTAACACATGAGGGCAAACACAATACCCGTGTATGTCAACCACTTGCACGTTCATTAAATGGGAACGCATTGACTCGCCAATGAGAGATAACCCTTGATCTCTTACTCAGTTGCCAGATAGTGAAGAGTGAATTTAGTTTTACGCCGCTTTTAGCAATATTCCAGCAATATCGCGGCGGGGGACACCAGAAATGGGCTTCACACATTGTACCATGTGGGGAATCGAACCCGACTCTTCGGCGTGACGAGCGAACGCTTTAACCACTAGGCCATCCCACCGCCTAAGAACCTAAACAATGTCGAGTTCGTCCTTCTGGTTTAGCCCAAGTTTTCTTAATGACAATCGCTATATGGCGTAAATAAAGCCGATGGTAAATATTACACACTCACTTTCCTTATAATAAAATGCTTGTACTTCATAAACATTGAAAAGACCTGATATTGTAACAAAATATACACATGGAAAACGTATCGCACACCTCACATTTGCATAGTGTCATATAATAAATAATAAAGTGCATTTATAATGCGCTAAACTCCATTCACTAGGTGAATGCTCATAGCGCTAACAATCAAAGCACAACACGTTCTTATCCAGATAACCCAAGCTATCTGTGAGGCGCTAGAAGGTTAATACATGTAGTCACATGACTTATACCACCGGGTACTAATTTTCTACTGGGTGAACAGAGGCAAGTTTGAACAAACTCACTTGCCTAAGGTGACATCACATGCATCACATGTGCTTCGTTGTGGGGCAGGACTGAAGTCCTAGAAACTCTCAGGAGTCAAGCTGCCAAACACTGTCACCCATCCAAGGACTTCAACTGATTTGTGACCTGAGCTCTATGCTCAGGACCACAGGACCACACAATATGTTACCATTACCCATAGGAAACGAACTTATCTGAACCTCAAGTTAACTCACTATATGAACAAATGGAGCCTTAAAGAATATTTTGATGGCAAATCTTCAAAAAAAAAAATCAATGGCAAAAAGAACAAAAAACTGTATTCATAAAGCAAACATGGCAAAACATGGACTCATTTTGCAGTGCTGATATCTATGGTCGTATGACGCTAGAAAGTGGGATTATTTTTAAGATTCCGGCCTACAGCCCTGAAGAAATCACATAGGTATCAATGACCAAGCATAATGTCAAAATCTGATGCAACCACAGTCAACTGATATAACTTCTCAGACCCCCTTACTGACTATCAGACGTTGAATCTGACGTTGAGGTATTGCGTTCCATTCTTGGTGGAGATGCTTGTCTCAATGCTTCATGTTTTGTACCCGAGTACAAAATAAACTCTGTCAAAAAAGAAACGCAACCCCTGTATTTTAGAGATTTTGATCTGAAGTTTTAGGACGACACGGCATTTTTATTATTTAAGACAGAAGTCTGAAATTTGGCAGAATAATAACCCAGATGGGCATGTTTAAAATTGTCATTTGTAATGTCATCTCACAGACACCAGTTTGTCACCAGGGGGGGCGTCTTTCTCAGTATCTCGTATGAGCACCACGCGCTGCAATCACTGCACGGCATCTCCTTGGACAAGAACGGATAAGACGCCGGATTCTTTCCTGGGGAATGGCTCTCCACTCCTCCTGCAGTGCAACGGCGAGCTGTTGCAGCGTCTGTGGCGGCGGCTGACGTTGACGTACGCGTCGATCCAGAGTATCCCACAGGTGTTCAATAGGGTTGAGGTCTGGTGATTTAGAGGGTCATGGCAAGACATTGACGTTGGAATTCTGCAGAAAGTTCATTGTTGCACGTGCAGTATGAGGCCGGGCGTTGTCCCGTTGAAAATCTGTGTCTGTTGGTCAATAATCGGGAGAAGGTGAAGCTCTAACACGTGGTTGATGTAACGTTGGGCTGTCAGGTTCCCTGGAACGATCACCAAGTCTGATTTCTGGTTGTATGAGATGGTTCCCCAAACCATGACGCTTTCTCCGCCAAATCTGTCCACCTGTCGGACGCAGATGGGCGCAAAACGTTTATGACGTCTCCTATACAGACGCTGTCTTCCGTCGTGACGTTGCAAAAGAAAACGTGATTCATCAGAAAACCAGATTCGCCTCCAGTTTTGTAAAGTCCGTATCCTTACGTTGTTGCACCACCTGAGTCGTCGGCGTCGATGTAGGGGCGTAGTACAGGTCCAACAACTGGTCTACAGGCACGTAAACCCGCTTCTTCAGACGGTTCCTAATCGTTTGAGCTGACACTCTCCTCAAACCTGGTATTTGTGTGGCAGTCACGGTTGGTAGGGCATGCCGATTACGCAGGTGATGGACCCGGATGTACCGATCTTGAAGGGGGGTCGTGATTCTTGGCCTTCCACTTCTCGGGCGATCGTTGGTCAAATTGAAGTTGTTGTAGCGGCTCCAAAGTCGGGATATCGTTGTTTTGTGAACATTTAGGTGCCGTCAACAGTTCCAAAACTTTCTCCGGCTTGAACACGACCAATGGCGATATTTCGGTCGGCAGCACTCAATCGTGGCATTTTTAACACAGCTTTCGGCGACAAATGAATGAATATAATACGGAAGCACATGGGCTTTTATACACCCCTACATTAACTGCCATTTTCATGATTTGCATGTGTTTTTGTGCGAAGTCACCATGAGGGTCATTTCATGCGTTGTGACGGAATAAGCAATAAAATACACTTATGCGTACAAATGCAGTTGTTTGGATGGTAATCTTCATTAATTACGTGTATCATTTCAATACATTTTAACACCTGAATAAAATTTAGTTTGGAAGCAATAACTTCATTCAAACGAATTTTTCATATCTGAGGACAGGGTTGCGTTTCTTTTTCGACAGAATTGAAGAATTGATCGACAGAAGTCTATAACTGTTTGCCCGGGATGAAACGTGTAGTCATCAGGCCTACTTTCAACTACAGGTCGTATATCACTGTTTCCGTGTTATCTTCCTGGTTCCCTATGTGTTGACGTGTAGTGAATAAACAGATTAACAATCACCATGTATCTGTTACATGTGTCACACGTCCATCAGGGCTCCGTGTCACGAAGCTATCGTAGCGCTACGACTGTCCAACCTCTATACTGTAACATAGACTTACGACATTCGTAGCGCTACGGTAGTTTTGTGAAACGGGGCCCAGGCTTATATATCAGTGGTTGTCTGTCTGTTTATCCTTCTATTTATCTACTTATCAATTCTGAATTGTTGATATATCTCTCAACTTAGTAATATATGAGTAGGAATAAACGAGAAGAACTTTTATTCCC